ATGGAAGAACAGCAGCGGCTGGAGAACCAACAATCTAAGAAAAGAAATATGTCCAGCATCCCAGGAAGTTGTCCCATCAATATACATTTTAATGGGGTGCAACCTTCATCTTAATTGGAGACGCCCGAATCCTCTGCATCCCCAGCAATGCCTTCGTCACCAAAGGCCCAAGTCAATGACGACTTTAATATTCCTGGACTTCGAGATGTTGCGGTCAGAGAGTATAGCGCATGGCATGAGGCGAATGTCGCTGATGACCATTTGAAAGCTTAGTTTCGTTAAGCATGCGATATCGCGCTAGCGAATGGTTTCGATCTTCAGCTAATCTATGAGGACCAAGATCCGTCATTCTTTATCGACTAAGGGGTTATGGTAGGTATTGCCCGTCAATTCGTAAGAGATGTGGTGAAATGGGTTAGAGGTGTGAGGAATGTTTTGCCGATTGAGGGTATGTAGATAGTACTCTCAAGGAGTATGATGGCCAGGATAGTCGCGATATTTATTGATGAATTACTTGTTCCAAACACCTGCTTCAGAATATAAATAGAACACAACGGTGGATAGAAAGTGAGTAGGGCTTTAGGAGTGGGTTTCATTAGCAATCCGTAATATATACTGTACATGCGATGTTTCTATGTCGCTGGTCTAGTCTATCATTGAATTATGAACCTGGATATTAACGCCAGAATGTCTAAAATGACCCAAAGCACTTTGTTTTCGAGATCCAACAACCTCAATACACCAGTCGAGGAAGGTTTGAAACCCTTGTTCTGAGTTTTCCTCATACCGTACCCAGTTCCGTCTAATGAATGCTTTCAACTCTGAGAAATACTCCTCGATCGGATTTAGGTTGGGTGAGTATGGTGGCAGATACACTAGCTTGACTCCTGCTGCAGTGCACATTGCGTCGATACGATCAGAGCGATGAAAAGACGCGTTGTCTATGACTAGAACGGACTTCGGCTCAGGCCATCTTCCACAGTGCCTCAGAAGCTGATCAATGAAGTCCTCAAATACTGCAGCGTCGGTGGAGCCCTGGAAAACACGAGAGATGACGATCCCATCTTGGCAATACGCAGGTAATATCTGGTACCGCTGGTCACGATGAAAGTTGGCTACCTGCAATGGTGCCGTGCCTAACGGAGACCAACCTGTCCGTCTAAACCCGATCCGTTTATCACATCCAGACTCATCCACATAGACTAAATGATACGACTTGAAGTCCGATAGATAGTGTATATAGGAATCTCGTAGATCCGCATTCTGTTCCTTCGCTCTCTGTCGAGCCACCTTTTTGGACTAACCTACCGATGCAAGAGCCCGCTTGAGGCTCGAATTTGTGACCTGAACACGGAACTCGTCCCATAGGAAGATTGCCATCTCGTCCACGTATAGCCCGGGTTTTTCGAGGAGGCGATTATATAGTGCCACTATCATCGGAGGTGTTATGCTTCGTCGTCGACCGACTCGAGTTGGGGGTGCCCTGACATTTCCGAATCGGCGGAGATTGTTGCTGATGTTGATTATGGAACGCTTACTATATTTAGTAGCTTTGGCTATTTGCGAGGTGGTCAGCGATTTGCTTGATATCATGTTCTGGATTATTTCGAGCTTGGGGAGAGGGAGTCTTGGCGCCATATTGCGAAGAGAATCTAGACGTTCACGGAGGAGAGCTTTAGGAGGGGTGATCGTTAACTATCGCGAAGGGGATGGGGGTGGGTAGCGACTCTATCTGCTTACCCTTGCTCACCCTTGCTCACCCCTTTGCTCAGTGAGTAGGTGAAATGGTTTGAGTGAAAAGCCTGGGGGACGCTAGGTAATAGGATATGCACGTGACTTGAGAGAGTTCCTGGGAGCTTGGGAGGCATCTCAAACCTGCGGACCTCAAAAGGGAGTTGCAGGCCGAAAGGCCATGCGTTGGATTTGGCTTTGCAGCAATAAAAAATAATTCTATGCTGCCACTCAAAACGTGGGGTATTTGGCTGCTTACTGCGTGCTGCACCTTGATCTGTATATTCGGGCTCGGGCCGATTCAGTTCCTGGAAGATGCTAATTTCACCCCACACATGTCCGGGCTGAATTTCTATGTGGGTTGCTGGCAATCTATTTCAGTGTCTTGGCGCAGTGAAAGTCACCTGATGGTGAACCTGAGGAGGTACCCCGCTTCCAGCTGAGAAGCAGACAATAAGCCTTCAATGGACTAAAACGAGGCATGTTTACTTAACTATGGCATCGATATCATTTCGTGGCAAGAACAATGGGCTCCAGGTCGGAGATAACCATGGTTCAATCGACTTTCATCTACCTCCAGGTAAGTTTGAGGCGCGGGACAAGCTGGCGGTCGTGACTAATCACCGTATCCTAGTGCGACCGGAAACTCCACCTAGGCCTCTATTAACCGTCCCTTTCGCGCGTGATCCTGACTTTGTTAGTCGCGACACTCTACTTCATCAGATCCACGAGAAAAGCTCAGTGCCAGGGTCAAGAATAGCGCTGGTCGGCCTTGGAGGTGTCGGGTAAGTAGTAAGTGACCGATATCTTGTTTTATGGCTTATAATTCGAAGTAAATCGCAACTCGCTATCGAATACTCCTATTAAGTGCGATCCGAGTCGCCGGGGACCTAGGTCTTTTGGGTCTATGCGAGTAATGAAGCCCGGTTCGAGTAAAGTTTTCGGGATATCGCGGACCAGATCAAAATCCTAGGCCGTTAGGACGCTAAAGTCAATATATTTAAACTTATCGAGAATTGGCTCTAGGATGAGAATAGAGGTAAATGGCTTCTAATCCTTGATAATGTTGATAATGAGTAACTTCTCTGCTTGTATTCGGTGGCAGGGAAGGAAGATCCAATAAGCAGCCAAACAAACGCCTTAACAAAACCACTATTAGAATACATTCCCAGGAGCCGAAATGGCTCTATCATCATTATAAGCCGCACTAGAGATATTGCATTAAAGATAGCCAATCAAAAGGGCCTTATTAAGGTTAAACCGATGGAGGAACCTGAAGCGCAAGAGCTTCTTTAAAGGAAGCTTGGTTAACTAAGGGGAAGCGAAGAGGGTTAACAGTTAGTGAACGCGTTAGAGCTTATGCCACTAGCGATCATATAGGCCGCTAGCTATATTCGAAAACGGGAGCCTCGCTATTCAGTATCATAGTACCTACGAGACTTCTAAGGGAGTGATCGTGGAGCAATAAAGCTTCTGTAAAAAGAGGCAGGTTACCTCCACCGAGACTAGGAAGCAAAGAATTTAATATTGGTGACGTGGCAAATATTATTCGATTATATACGCCAAACCAACCCGTCTATAGTAGGATTGCTTTCGCTAAAGAGCCTTTGCGATCGATAAGGAATACCGGAGAATCTTATCCATCCTTAACCTCAGGCTAACTATGCATCGAGTTCCGAGCTTCTAAATGACTTAGGCGATGGGGGAACTTCTGGATCTAATATAGGGCCCGATTTTGAAGATGATATTATAACATTAAGGGATTTTTCGTTTATATCTATTAGTGAGGACGGTACCTTTTTTACGATGCATCAGCTGGTACAACTGACGATGCGTGCGTGGTTAAAATCGGCAGGAGAAATAGACTAATAGCGGGAGATATTTATCAGCCATCTATACGAAGAGTTTCCCACGGGTAAATACGAAAACTAGGAGAGGTACTAGGCACTCTTTCCTTACGTGAAATCCGCAATGTCGCAACGACTAGCATCACCTAAGTGTCTACTATAATAGGCTATATTACTATATAAAGCTACATGATATGCGTCGCAAATCGGTAATATCGCGGATACAAGAGATATGGCAGCAAGATCAAAAGAGCAAAGAACGATCTTATTAGGCGAAGAGCATAAAGCGGCGCTTAATAGCATAAGTATGTTAGTAATAGCTTACTGGCTTGACGGGCGATGGAGAGAGGCTGAGCAGCTCTTTGTGTAGGTGATGAAGACTCGTAAGACGAAGCTCGGCGAGGACTATCCTGACACGCTGACCAGTATGGCCAACCTAGCATCGACATATAGGAACCAGGGCTGGTGGGAGGAGGCCGAGAAGCTCGAGGTACAGGTGATGAAGACGAGTAAGACGAAGCTCGGCGAGGACCATCCCGACACACTGAATAGTATGGCTAACCTAGCATCGACGCTTTGGAACCAGGGCCGGTGGGAGGAGGCCGAGCAGCTCTTTATGCAGGTGATGAAGACGAGCAAGACGAAGCTCGGCGAGGACCATCCCGACACGCTGACCTGTATGGCTAATCTGGCTTTCACATAGAAATCTTCAGCTTATGATGCCAAAGCCATTGCTCTACTAAGAAAGTGCTTAACCAAGTAGAAGCAAATACTCGGCCCTAGCCATCCTACTACTTTATCTAATTCTGAAATATTGTTAGAATGGGTAGTAGAAGTGACACTGAACAACGAAGGCGAATGAGAAACAGATGAGTGAGAAACTGATAGAGAATAGATAGGGAAACAAGACACTGGACATAGATGCATAGATTCTAGTTTTTAGAATTTATTTTTACACGGCATTTTCTGCTAAATGTGTACTTCCCAAAGAAATGTTCCATCATAAAATGGTTTAATGCGTGTCCCTTGAAATGTATTGGCCTTATTACTCTAGTAGGGTGCTCTTACAGAATAATGAGATGAATGGATGGAATGTAGTTAACATGTTCAAGATACTGCAAGATGCTCATATCTTTTGTAAGAGGATTACGAGTATATTAATGGACTTTGTAGCACGTGATGTGCCTTTTAATACGATTCAATACGTAAGATTGAGCTAGGCCGGATATAGATTAGCGTGTTTCGGACTAGGGTTCGAGAACAACTCTACGAAAGCAAAGTGGTGAAACTGAATTCGATCTATCCTGTAGTCACATATAATTTCGATAGTAGAACAGAGGTAATTCATGCAACGAGCAATATAACTCATGACAGCACAAGGGTTGATTCACTTGCATACCCTCAATATATGAAACCATTAGATTAAGTGGGAGAACACCTCTTAGGCAGAGGATTATCGTCACAAACAGCCAGAGTATCATCCAGTTCAAGGAACTCATCCAAGAACTCATTCGTCACGTCTTCCGATAGATTTGTGTCGATCTCTTGCGGGTCACATGATTTGCTGACAGAAGACATTCCGTAAGGCCCAGGGAGGATTCCCTGGATTGGTTGCGTCAAAGATCGGCTATACAGAAATTTGTCGATTATCGATGCATTTGACAGATTCTGAGGTACAGAAGCGTCAGCAGAAAGGTTCTGGTGAATTGAATCCGCTTCGGGCGCATAAAGAGCAAACGAGTCAATCAGATCCGCAGGTTTGCTTGGACAATGAACTTGCGCCAAGGGCTTCATTAGCGTTGGTGTCTGTATGCATGTGCTTCTAGGTGAAAGTGTAGATATGCTATTCTTCAACGGGGCCAGTGTTAGGTCAATGACCGCTGTGGGCGTGGATTGATGTAGTATTGCGAGGGCAGATTTAGCCGAGCCATGTGAATTTCTCAAAGACCGGAGAATGTGAACACATTGTCTGAATTGGCGTGGCCACCTCGATCGTAGCCCGAAATCATCCGACTTTGCGCCAAGAATGTGGGTTCTAGCAACATTGCTCAGAATATCAACCCCAGTGGTAGGCAGGTAGGGAGCAAGCGATGCATTATAGAGAGACCACATGATATCAGTAATCTCCGTCGCCGCAAGATACACCTGCTGAGCCTGGATGGAATCAAAATGCGAGGCTGACATCCAATTTCGAGGCGGAAATGCTTGATGGTGTTGCAATTTCAGAAGCAGAAACAAGTAAATAATTTTTAAAAATGCAGAATAAAGAAGAATGGTTTTGCTTGTTTCTGAAACAGGCTCGGGCTCGGGAGAGTACGGGACGTACTGGGCTTGAGTTGGTAACGCGCCTAGCCAGACTTGCAATTCATTATCATAGAAATGAACCAGTAATAGCCTTGCAGAGCTTTCACCTGGCATGCTCTGCTCAATTGAGTACTTTCTTTCTGTAAAGTTGTACACAAATGTCGAAAGTACACCGCCAACTAGACGACAAAGCTTCGTCAGTTCAATAAACATGATGGCTTTGGTTTGCCGGTCGTCCTTGCTGTGCAATGGCATTGAGTTTAGATATTCCGAGCACGTAACGTCGACGTCAAAGTCTGCGAGGGTCAAAGGAGCGATGTCGCACTCGTCGTCCCTGATACACACCCGGGAATCCAACTCCAGTGCCATCAGTTTGTCTCGCACATGAATACCCCACCACAGTCGCCGTCTTAACCTCAGATCACTGGGCGGGGGGCTTAATTGGGAGCAATCACGATGTAGCCCAATAGATTGCGCGTATGAAACGCAGGCATTCATCCAGAAGCACGGATCTTTCTGCGCACTATCGACCTCGCGACAAAGGGTCATCAGAAGCAGTGATTGAATTACATTGATTTTGCAATCAATCTCGTAATCCACTTCATAAAGTAACCGCACGCGCTGAAAGAGTGCCCGTCGAGCCTCTATTCGAGTTGAAAACCCAGCTGAGACAATGGATCCTAGGTCAACTGTCGCTGCTCCTGCGAACATGATTGCCTGAAATAACAAAAGGCTGACTCGTGGCCCTCGATTGGTAGAATAGAACCCTTCTAATAATTTATCGAAATCCACCACAGGCAAGAAAGGGTGAACATGTAAAGCGTAGCTTCTCAAAAATTCTTTACACACTGAAGCCTTCGGAATATCAAACACTCCTTTCGTAACGAGGAAGTGCAGATCTTGTATTTCTAGGTGTGGGGGTGGTGGTTTTATATAGCGTGGCAGACCGGAAGGTTCCACAGAGGTTGCAGTTTGTTCATTGGACTTAAATCGGGAACCAAGCAGGTTCTTGATTTCAGAAAAAGCCTGCTCGAGAATGAGACCAACGTGTTCGACTGGATTAGCTACGAGATCACCATCTTCTTGATTGCACGAGCTATCGGTTCCTGCACAATGTTTAGACACGAGACGTGGATGGCTTTCTCCAAGCTTCGCTGAATTGTACACTTACGTGCGGTAAATATTGGCTTCGGGGAATTCGTGAACTCTACACTATCTCCATGAGCACAGTCATCAGCATACGACACATCCTGCACGGATGCTGAGCTGTAATGGTCATGTGAAGATAGTGGGCCTGGGATACCATTGGTGAATCCAGTTAATGGCGACCATCGGCGCGGTGTCCTGAAGAAAAGATCAGAACTGCTTCCCATGATGCGGTTGTGAGGGGACAAACTTCTTCTTTTGGGCTGCTAGCTTACATTCCACCCTGTCCAAGCGGCAGTTTGTACATGGGCTATGGTGTTCCACGTCACATCTGACCTTCCGTCCTCGACAGTAACGGCATGCGATAGTCGCTCTTTTGATATAACTTCGGCGTTTGTTCGACTTAGGGACTGTCACATTTTGCTTGGATTGGCTTGGCATGTTGATCCTGGTTTCTTTCACAACTCTGTGTTGTGGTGTCTTCTGTCAATGTACGTTCGGGGCTGAGGCGAATCTGATCAATAAAATCAAGCAATTCATGAAGTTTCACAAATTAGATTTAAAAGCCGTAGGTCGTGTTTCTTGGGTCCGATTTGGAACCTTATCGGCTCCGTCTTATTCTTTGCCTACTATTTGTGCCTCGTAATAGCGCCCCTCCCTCCTGGCGGTGAGGAGGGAGGGGCGCTATTACGAGGCACAAATATCAGTGACCGGAGCCGATCGGATCGGAGCCTAAGCCGGGCGACGAGTGTGGGGCCCGGCATTCTTGTTTGGAAGATGGAGTATGAGTCTATTAGTACGGTGTCTATCTTTTGGATGTGTGCAAGTGTTTCTTTTGTATGTGAATTTTTCTCTTGCAATAGCTACTGTGAATCTCAGTGCTGTTTTCAAAAATGCCTTTCTCATCTCGATGGTCTCTTGATATTCCTGACATCTCGATCCCTTCTTTTATATTCGGATCGTCCTCTGCTGCTATTTTGCCGGACAAAGGGCCACTATTTATCGACGCTAAACGACCCGATATCAATTTTACGCACCATAGCTATCGCGAGTTCGCCAAGCGACTCGCTGTTGGTCTAATTGATGCTGGCCTTAAAACTGGTGATCGGGTGATGCTATTCTCTGGCAACCACATCTTTAGCCCTATTGTCATCATGGGAACAGTGATGGCAGGCGGTGTTTACAACAGCACCAATCCAGGTTACATGCCGCATGAAGTGGCATATCAATTAAAGACTTGCCAGCCTACGTTTCTGCTTGTCGCCGACAACTGCTTGGAGCGGGCTCTCAAAGGAGCTGATATGGTTGGTTTCAACAAGAAGCAAATCTACCAGTTCGGGGATCCCCAGTCTAAGACCGACAGCTCAATCAGGTCTTGGGCACAGCTTATCGCTTCACCGGAGCGCGGGGCGAAGTACCAGTGGGAAGAACTGAACACTCCAGAGTCGTCCACTCGAACTGCCATACTGATATTCTCTTCGGGTACAACTGGTCTACCTAAAGGCGTTGAGATATCGCATCGCAACCTGGTTGCGAATGTGTCGCAGCTCCTGAAAATGCAGACTCTGTCAAATTCAGCACCTGATCCAAGCAGCGTCTGGCGCCGACGAGGCCTGTGTTGTTTACCCATGTACCATGCACTGGGTCTGACCTTCTACAATTTCGTTGCTCCTAAAGGGGATATCCAGGTCTACATAATGGAGCGCTACAAACTGGATGACGTTTTGCAGCATATTCAAGACTACAAGATATCGGAGCTGGTCATGGTGCCTCCGATGGTTCTAGGATTTGCCAAGCATCCTCAAATCACCAAATACGATTTGAAAAGTGTCAGAAAGGTCATGGTTGGAGCAGCCCCGTTGGGTATTGAGTTAACTGCTCAGTTCGAGTCGATCTGGAACGGCGATGTGAGAATCCGACAGGTTTGGGGAATGTCAGAGTTCGTACTTCCAACATCAAACCCAGGCTTTTCAATGTTACTGATATCTAACCAGACAGCCATGCATGGTAACTGCGTGGCATGAAGATGAAAACAATGCTCCCGCCTCTACATCTGTTGGAGAACTTCTTCCTGGCTGTGATGCCATGCTCATGCGCCCAGATGGGACAGAGGAGACCCGCCCCAATCAGCGCGGAGAGATTTGGATTCGCGGCCCCAACATGATGAAGGGCTACTGGAACAATGCTACTGCTACCAAAGCTGCCATGACCGACGGGTGGCTCATGTCTGGAGATATTGCATATTTCGACGAGAAGCGAAAGTTCTACATCGTCGACAGAATCAAGGTAGGCCAGCTGCAAAGGCTACCCACTAGTTGAAACAATGACGCTAATCATGGTGTAGGAGTTGATCAAAGTCCGAGGTGCCCAGGTTGCCCCAGCAGAGCTGGAGGCTCTGCTTCTCGAGAACGAACACGTAAGGGATGCAGCAGTGATAGGCGTGAAGACGTAAGTTGCTTAATATATTTATGCACCGCCGACGACTTGGGGCTAACTTATTGGAAGTGCAACTGAGGATGAAGACCCACGTGCCTACATTGTGCCGGAAGACAAGAAGAAGGTGGCACCAAAGGATATTGAGTCTTGGATCAACAGCAGGGTTTCCAAACAGAAGCGGATCACAGGAGGTGTTCTTTTCGTTGATTCTATCCCTAAGAATCCGGTATGTCTATGAAAGCTTCCTTGCTCTTTTCTCCGCGCTAACAACAAACCCAAGAGTGGCAAGATCCTTCGTCGTTTCTTACGGGAACACGCGGCCAAAGATTCTAAACAGTCGAAACTGTAGTTGCCTGCCTCTACTATACTGGCGAGATTAAAATAGGTCGAATCACATATGTGTTAGTTCTACTCAGCTTTCGGATTAGTTTAAATAATAGGTTTCTTTATTGCAAGGTTTCTGTGCGTGGTAGTTCCATAATTTCCCTCTATGATTCACTTCATGTTTTGCGTCTATGTTCTGTGTTCCTGATTTACTCTCTTGACAAATCGAATTCCTTCAAGTGCGGTGCGTGATAAATTTAGTCCGTCCTGAGAACTTACAGTTTGATATTTCTTCACCGTCAACGTCTATTGAGGTTGGAGTTGGAGGTGGGGTTTGATAGGCCAAAAAGCCTGCCCTCAATTATTGGGTTTTTAATGTTTATTTCGTCCGGTAGCGGGCTGGGGCCACAGGGTTAGCACTCGCAGGATTATTAAATGTTCACCAATAAGGCATATGGGCCGTCATACAGGCTTGAAGGCAAAAAAAATGTATTTTACTCGAATTGATGGATAGAACGAACGTGACATAGGATGTTAGAACGTTAAGCTTGGAGATCGGAGCCGACCATCGGAGCCGCTGCGGGGGCTGATTGGTACTTCCGATCTCCTCCAACCCACTCCTGGATTGCCGAAAGATGATTATTGATGAGGCGAACGGCTTTGTGAAATATAAGCTCTCGTCCTCACATTTTGTTGTCGGGGCTTCTCAATATCAACTATCTACTTGGTGAAGAGATTCAACGTATCCCCATCAACATGGCACCCCAACTCAATAACGTGTACATCCTTGGGGTCGGAATGACGAAGTTTATGAAGCCCAAGTCGCAGAATGACTACACCGAGATGGGCCTGGAAGCTGGTACCAAAGCTCTGCTTGATGCTCACATCACCTACGACAGCGTTGACAGAGCCATCGCTTGTTACTGCTACGGTGACAGTACTTGCGGCCAGCGTACTTTTTATCAATTTGGAATGACTGAGATCCCTATCGCCAATGTCAACAACAACTGTGCTACTGGCTCCACGGGAATGGCTATGGCCCGAGACTACATTCAACACGGCGCTGCGGACTGTGTTATGGTTCTCGGGTTCGAGAAGATGGCCCCAGGCAGCTTGAAAAGCAATTTTGCCGATCGCATTAACCCGCTAGACCTCGTGACCCAGATGATAAAGGAAGTGTACCCGGCGACTACGAAGGCACCTTTCGCCCTTCAAATGTTTGCAAACGCAGCACGCGAATATATTGAAAAACATGGAGCGACACCTCGAGACTTCGCCGAAATCGCCCGGGTGAATCGAGAGCATTCCTTGAAGAACCCTTATTCCCAATTCCACGACGCTTATTCCTTGGAGGAGATCGAAAAATCGACTATTGTTTTCCCTCCTCTCACCAAGCTTCAGTGCTGTCCAACTAGTGATGGTGCAGCATCCGCGATTATTGTCTCCGAGCGTTTTCTCAATACCAGACCCCACCTGAGGTCACAGGCAATTAAGATTGTCAGCCAGGCCCTTGTCACTGATAGCCCGCAGTTGTACAGTGGCTCTGCTATTGACGTGGTTGGCTATGGCATGGCTCAATCAGCAGCCCGTAAGGCCTTTGCGGAGGCCTCTTTGAGCATAAAAGACGTCAAAGCCATTGAGCTGCATGATTGCTTTTCTAGCAACGAAATGCTATTGATTGATGCACTTGGGTTATCCGCTCCTGGAAAAGCTCACCAATATGTGAGAGATGGTCAACTCACTCACGGATCTAAATCTGCTGTTATAAATCCTTCCGGTGGCCTGCTGTCCAAAGGACACCCCCTTGGTGCAACTGGAATCGCTCAATGTGCGGAGCTGACTTGGCAGCTTCGAGGGTGGGCAAATAATCGTTTGATTCCTATCGAGTCAGGACACATTGCTCTACAGCATAACTCTGGACTTGGTGGAGCATGTGTCGTTACGCTGTTGGCCAGAGCTGATGGGGAGCGAAACACTGCTATCGACTCCTCTGAGATTGGACACCTCTCTGGCCTAGGTTATAACCCTGCGACTGAGGCTCGAGGTGTAACATTCGATCAGCTGGAAAGAGTTCGATCAAAGCAATTTACCGACTGGGCTTTGAAGAAGCCCAAAGAAGAAAACTCGAAAGCAAGTCTTTAGCACTCACACACACACAAATTTTGTTGGATAGCTCAGTATGGTCTGTAGTAACTAAAGGCCCTGTTCATATTCTGTTAAACCTGATATCACGAAAAGTAGTTCAAATGTCACTCTTATATGTGATATCAGAGGCACCGTATGACTTAGTTTAGTGTAAACTGTACTCTCTCGAAGATTCCATTGTTGCCATGTAGCTGGAATCATATATACTTATCAATTATGGTTTCATCAGATCAAACTTTATATCGAAAACATAGATGATTCTATTAGAAATTGGGCAAACAAGAACCAGACCAAGGCAGATAATCAGTTGGGAAGAAGTGAGTTTTCTACCGCACATACCTATTATGCTGCTCTGCCGAGTCCAAAGGGTGTCTAGCGTATGATATCTGTAGAAATAGGTCAGGAGCATTTTCACGTTGACAGACAATTTTTGTATCTAGCCACTTCGAACATGGTCCAAAGCCTTCATCACAGCTCATCCATAGACGAGTCGACTGATAATTGCGTCGTTTCCGATATCATTTCCAACTTTCCAACTCTGGTCGTCGCAGTCATTAATTGCTGTCAGGCAATCACTACGCGTCTTCTCTGGTTTTACAGACCTCTTTGACTGAGGGGGCTAGATATGCTCTCTTTCCTAAAAATTGTAACTTAGTGGTGAAACGCATGACATTATTAATGAAGTTGCGGCCTGAGGTGTCATAGCCAGAGGCCATATACAGGATCTGTCTACATGAGAAGAAAGATAAGAGGATTATCTACCCAAATTCGGTTTCAAGTTCTCACCACTTTCTTTGATTCGTGATGCAGCATTAAGTATAGTCCGTACGGCCTCACCCGTACAACGTCATGGTCTGAATCATGACGATTTTATTCAACAATTCCAGTACGTCCCTACGGCTTCATTCAGGCCCCTTACGGTCCCCTCTCCCAGAGAGTGGTTGTGTGTGTGTGTGTTTTCCCTGATGGTTTTGCCTATTGTCAATTCCACTGGGGGGTCCAGTGGAATTGTACGCACGCTCATTGGGCCGTGGTGCGTGCTCCCGCTCACCCTAGTGCGTGTCCGCCGACTGAGAACCCAATCAAAGTCTCAAAAGCTCCCGCTATAGTATATAGTTGTCAAGATCTCGACCCAAGACATCGACCGCCTTGATCATATTCCTTTATAATCACCTTTGATAGATAATGTGTCTTTCCATTTACATTATTCAGGAGGTCAATACATGAACAAAGCGCCATATTCCTCGAAGTTGCCGCGGAAGACCAAAGCTCTAATCAAAGTGACGAACCTTTTGGTTAACCACAGCGTAATGATTGTATCTGTGTTTCAGGAAAGTTACAACTCCGCATTCGTGTAATTTATCCTTACAGAACATTTCAAGATACAAAACCGAACTAGGTTCAAGAGGGACTAGCGTGTTTCAGAATAAAGTTCAGAAAAGAAAACAAAACAAAACAAAGATGAAACTGATTTCGAGCGGCCCTATACCGAATTCGCCGTGCATAGTAGTATCATGTCCAGAACCTGATCTCACAGGATGTATACACACGTACAGGCCGGTCAGCTCGGCCAACGACCATCAGAACGGCAAGAAAGCATGATTCACGTCTGTCTCACAGGTCAGGAATATTGAGATGACTGTTGAGGATGGGGTTGATGGTGACAGCGTAAATACGGTGGTCAGTGGTTTATGGTGGCAACCAGCCTGCTTTGGTGAACGCTTGACTAGCTTTGGTAAACAGTTCAGCCTGTTTTCATAAACAGTTGACTGAGCGTCCGTAAACAGTTGAGCCTGTTTTCATAGATAGTTGACTAAGCGTGCGTAAACAGTTAAGCCTGCTTTAATAAACAGTTGAGCCTGTTTTCATCAGCAGTTCAATGGGCATTCTTAAACAGTTGACTGAGCGTCCGTAAACAGTTGACCGGCTCTGATAAACAGTTGAATAAGCATTGGTAAACAATTGAGCGTGCTCTGATAAATAGTTGACCAGCTTTAATAAACAGTTGAACCTGCTCGAAAATCAGTGACCAGCTTGGAAAAACGGTGACCAGCTTAGAAACAATTTAGTGGATGGTGACAGTGTCAACGCGTCGATAGCAGACTGTCAATGCTAAGTCTGGACGCGTTGACAAACGGAGTGAGTCAGGCGGTGTGTCATCCCTCGCGCACTCTTTGTCCGACTTGGGGAAAGACCCCACCAACATCACTCTATTCTTCTCTCAGGCCAACAGCCGTTGTCAAGTCCTTCTTGACAGAAAATTCAGTTATGGCATACGGCAGGTAAGAATACGGAAGAAGCCAAAGCATCGTCATTAATTCCAATTATCTACACCAAAAATCCTGTTAGAGATCAGCTTAAGCTTCTCGTTATATATATAGCCGCTCGTCTCCTAATGAATAAATAACATGTTCCTTTTTTAGACTACACATGCTATGAAATCGAACTCGCATGTGTGACTTGAATCTGTCTAGTGGCCTCACGAAACCATGACCAATGAAGTCTACACCGGTCTCTTCTAAGTACGACTGTGATACATCATGAAACAAATGGGATTTAAGTTAATTCAAAGTCAACCACGTATGATACAAACATGAAGCTAATAATCAGCTACTCCACCGGCCACAAAGGTAGGTTCCATATTGAATTAAATACTGCGCGTGAGCCCTAGATCCGATAAAATGACACCGTACACGTACCTTATGTATATCTACATTGCGAGCTTCCCCTGCCCCACACACTGACAAGGCTACCATCACGGACATCGAACAACATGGTCTACTGCATGTGTCTCACTAACAGCAGTCATCAGTCTACGAGAAGAATGCATCATCGAGGATTTATCAGGGAACTACGCAGGCGGTTGAAAAAGCAGCTTACAGGACGAAAGCATAATGAGCCCTGCATCATCGGCCTACGTTTGTCCAGTATGACGAGCATTTGTCTTAATACTAGATGAAAGCACCTGGGAACACTACGAAAGAGCCTCACAGTCACTCGCGAAATGCGCCTAAGTAGGCAAGTCAAGGCCTTGTGGGGATCATGCGCCGCGGGACATCAGCTACACAGCGACGCAAAGCTGCTTGTCTGATGAGATATATGGCTGTGAAATTATATGCCCAAGGCTAAGAGGTGTATCAAATGAGGTGGCCGGAGAAGCGTCGTGTCATGGCGGCAACGTCGGCAATCAGGACAGTAGTATTCTCAAAGTCAGCAGAGCTTGCCGAGCTTCGAAAGGGGTCAAGCAACGAGCTAGAGAGGGCCTTGAGTAAGCAATCATTAAATCAATCGTAGCAATGGAGATATACGCGATGGCACAGATGTCACAGGGACTCGATAGGACGATGCAACATAGAGAGATAGCCAGCTTGCATCTCGCACCACACCATCCTGGCGCAACACTCACTTATGTACTTAAATGACAAGCAACTGAGCTAGATATCAAGCACCAATGTGCAAGAGCCCTTCTTTGTTTTGCCATGGCAGTTGGACGGGTAGCCTTACACGGTCATGGCTTCCTCTTCATAGATTCCCACACCTATCAGAGTGAACTGGGTGAAACTGATATCACCGAGTACAGAATTCTCTGTATTGTTCTATCCGCCAATAAAATGGGCGTGAATTCTTGGAAGCTCAAATTGACTTGTCTTCAGCAGCAATAGGGCCGTGGCCGTTTGTCACGTGATAGGATAGCAGCGAATGTTTTGAAGGAAACCAAAGTGGCATTCGGGTCAGCAACCGACAAGAATCTCGAGAGATCCACTCCATTGTGGACCACTCGCGCAGGACCGCAATTTAATTGACACCGCGAGAGACGGCGCAATGTGAATGCACCTTCCATCAGACCTCCCAGACCTCAGAATGACTCATATGATCAAGTAGGAAGGCCTTTTGATGTGCTTGAAAATTGAAGAGCCGTATGGAACCGACCAGCTGAACTAATACACCGGCGGTGGCGCTTCGTAAATGGCTCTGTCAGTCGGGCCAGAGTTGCCGAGCTCGCAGACTGCACTGCATGGCTACCCAGATGTGGCTCATGTCAGCCACATTTGGGCACAGTTGCTCCATTTGCAGGCCATGAAGAACCAGCGAGTGCACTCTCGTATGGACCTCTTGGCGGACGAGTCTATAGACCCCATAGATGTGGGTAGATCTATCGAGGTTCTCATCGAATGAGGTGATTCCCTGTGTTGAACCTCTACTCAATTTTCGAATTTCGTCTTGTCTCGATCGCGTACTTTTGTTCAAGCATGGGGATGGCATCCGCTAGCATACCATCGCATAGGCCAAGTAGATGACAGGCTGCAATGCACATTCGCTCGGCTATTGCAGACGGTCCGTGGAGATCGGTAGAATTCGGTCGCGCAGCAGGTAGACAGTGTTTTGCGGACAAGAATAAACACATTCACCAGATGAGCTACTTGTTGTGAGCAAGGATGTCGAATGGTGTCGGCGCTCACACCCTCATGGATGGAAATCAGCCTGGTGTCTCCAAAGCGAGGAATGGTTGGCATTGGCGCGCATGTCCACCAGTGCTTGGCAAGGGGAGGCTATCGATCCAACGCGACGGCAAAGGCGGTGAGGTCGTCCCAGACGCGGGGTGCAGTATTGTTTACGCGACGTCCCCGGGAGTTGGTCCGCACATGACAGTGGCCTTGTGAAATAAGTCAGTCAACATCAGGTCAGAGAAGATTCCACTCACAGCTCTTCATATTCGACCTTGCCTAATCATTGGCTCGTTCTGGTGACGCCCGGTTGACAATACAGACCACGCTTTGGCGTGGCTCTGCCGGTCTCCAACTTTCGACCCAACCAATACTCGCCCTAGTCAATTCTTCACGATCGCTGCGGACCTCTCTCTCCTGGCTGATATCACAGCTGTGACCGATTGGAATGGTCATGGAGCACTCCCTAAGCAGACGCATTTGATTTCCACTCAAGTCATGACCGACTCCCACCAGCCACTCCTACGATCCAACTCCCACAAATCAATGGCCACAAGACCAACGCCCACGAGCCCACTCCCACAAGATCGACTCCCACAAGACCGACTCCAGCTATGGCACTCGATAGAGGCGGGCAAGCCGTGACAGCATGCGCCATAAGCCTCTTGTGGGCATACTGCCCAACACGCCGCCTCGCTTAGGAAACGGGCGACATGTACGTTGAAATGACATGCATACCCGGAAGATGGCAGTCAAACGCCTGCGGCATTGTTGATGTGCCTGGGGTTCTGAATGGAGGCACATTCTGTTGGACACACATTAGCAAATGGATCAGAAAAGGGACCCTTGACTCACGTTTATCCGATGGCTGATCAGCGTTTTGATGTGCGATTGGGGGACGGGTGACGGGTGACGGGTGCAGAATATGTAGCTCACTTGGAGGACTCGAAGAAGGCCGGGCTGGCTGTGACATGTAGTATCCAACAGCCTCAAATCATTCCGGTTTGACTGGGGATATGCCTGCGCAGGAAGACTCTGAGCTCGGCCGGGCGAGGCGCATAAGTGCCTACACATGCAGAGTGGGTGTCGTCTGGACAAAAAGTCTTTCAGGCTGAGTAGCTGGCACGAGTCGAGGGAGAGCGAACACACCTGCATGGGCGCTAACTGACTCAACAACGGTGTCTGCTTTTCGCGTCATTGACAGTAGGGCTCAGAATTCCAAGGTGAATGAACTCATCTTGGGACTGCTGAACCATAAAGGTGACCCTTTGGAAAGTCTGGCAAAGGAGCCAATGCTCAATATTTGGGCTTGAAGGCAGACGATGGGTGTGATGATTCCCGCCTCAGTCTACATGATGAGGGCTGCTCATATTGGGTAGCGGGAAAACCAAGGGCTCCAGGAGTGCATGGGATATACACTGGTCGCCATTGATCATCCGGCCACCCATGTGTAGTGTGGGGGCGGTCTTCATAATTGGCCTCTCGGCTGAGAATTTCGCACTGCTTCCCACCCTTTTTTTGGGATTGGCGAGGGACACTTGGTGTCGGCATTTGACGTTGTTGAGGCGGAAGGTGAAATGCCATTCCACCGCAGTCGATCCTATGCTTTCGAGCTTGCGCGCCAATGTCTAGACGGCATACCCGTCACACGGTACTGTCAACTGGGGAGCCCATTTCTCTCGCCAAAATGGGTTGGCCGCACTATCAGAATCATCTGGAGATTGCTGCACTGATTGTGCTAATCGAGCGTCCAGCAGTCGCGCCGAATTCCGAGCAGCCTGATAGCACAGAACTTCGTGTGGGACTGCTTTCCTTGTTCGTGTCGGCTCATGGGTCTTCAAGGGGAAAGGATGCGTTGTTCGAGGACTACGAGTGTATGCACATTGTGTCGTAATAATGTAACGCATTTGACAAGTGACTCTTCAAAAGATGTCAGTATACGCCCAGCGATATGGGGTCCGCTCACAATCTATCATCCTCGACCTCACAACTCTTCAGCCTGTACATATATTGCTCCACAATAGCTCTGTGTCCATGGCGGAGTGTGTTTGTGACCTTGTCTGGCATAGTGATTCAAACCTCAATTCTCGCGAGACACTGGCGACGTGTACGTTGATACAAGATGGGCCGGAAGGTGGCAGTCCATCGTAGCCTGAAGCCTTGACCATTCGCTCGAGGTGAGCCTGGAGGCATGTCCTACTGGGCACGGTATTAGTGACTGGATCAAAGAAACGACTTCTGACTCACATTCCCGGGCAGCGGGCTGACAGCTGAACCATCTTGGTAGTATTGACCTGAGGTGCTCGAGTATGAAATGGGCTGGTCGCAAGTTCATGGTATTGAGCTGGCTGGAACATAGCTGCACAGGAAGAATTGCTCGTGTTGTCATAGTGAAAAAAGCTAAGAGAGGTGAACTTCGGTCAGCTTAGGCCAGGTTCATGGGTGTTCATACGTACGGGATATGGTGATGTGGTCGAGACTTGTGACTTTGACCCTGGCTGGTAGACACGAATTGATGGCGAAACATCAACGGCGTAAGGGAGTTGGGCGCCTTCATTGTTCAGGGCGTGCACTGCTTGTGTCAGGGAGTGGGGCTCAAAAACATCAAAGGCGAGGAACTTATTCTGGGCATCAGGGGCCTGTGAAAGCAGAAGGGGCCCTTCCGCAAATGATGCAATGCTCAAGCTGCGGGCTCGCAGACGCATGTCGTTCCCATCCCTCTCGTGGCGATGACGAGCGCTGTATCAAATAATCTGCCCACAACCGATTCTAGCACACCACGCAGGACGGTTCGAAAGACTCTTTTTGCCGAAACGTAGCACCCAGTTGTAATGTTCAACATGCGCTGCATACCAGTTATCGATGCGCTTAGGAGGCAGAAATATGGCAAGCTACCAATGGAAATGCCTCGCGCGAGCCAGGACGGTTTCATCTTGCTTGCACCGCAAAACGAGGTCGATTGTGATACAGAGGACTTTGACCGCAGGAGCTGGGGTGACGGTCGTTTTATTCGCGTGCATCGGGATCGCATGAAGCTGGCTCTGTCGCTTTCGCTGACATTGTTTCTGCACAGAGTGAATGGACGATATGCTTGCGATCTGCTATTTCAAGATAGCCGCAAGTCTCTTGAGAAATTTCGCTGTCGTCAAAAGCGATGGTTCTCTTTGCTCTGGAGAGAATAGTAGAAAGCGACAAGCCTTGTGGCAGGTCTCCATACATAATGGCCACCTGCTTGGCCTGGTGCATGACGATCGAGACCCGTCCCGAGGAGCAAGATCTGTCTCCCATCGGATAGATCTCCGGCATCCTTCTTATTCGCACCCTCCGCAGGTGAGGAAGCCGGTCTCACTGTGAAAGGGTTCCTCGACATCCAAGCTTATCAGACTGAGGCTTGATTCCCGGACCACGCATCGTGTGTTCTCGTTCGGTACAAGGGTCGCATGATAGCCTCGACTCCAACCGAATGCGGAGTAGTAGCTGGTGTTCTCGGCTAGCGCTGCCATTTGGTTGGCATCCAGTGTTTCTGGTGAGGGGTGGGTGTTATCTCAGCAATCGTGAGGCAATCGTGAGTCACGTCAACTTCCACACTTCGAATCGGTCTCCAAAGCGAGATACATCGCTTCATGTCTCGCAGCGTCTTGGCTAGTGGCCCTGCAAGATAGTCAGCATGTGTCTGATAATGAGGGTTCACTCACGGTCTTTCAATCCACTTTCGCCTTGCACCGACGACACACACAACACCGCTGAGACAGCGCAGCTCTCGTCTTGCAGGGACAAGCTTGACCTCAAATTCGACCCAACGCATCCTCCGCCTTGCAAATCCATGGGGTCGGTTTGGCCCGTGTGCCCTTCAGCCAAGGTCATGGCTGACGATCGGTGAGCGGTCATTGGGCAGAAATACCTAGCAGACGTACCTATCCAACGAAGGTCCAGCCGCACGAGTGCTGCGGCCGCGATGAAGTGCACAGGTAGCCTTGCTTGAGACACTATCAGATCATCGATTCATTCAGGACAACGGCGACGTGTGCATAAATTGGGAAGGGCTCTAGGATGGCGGTGTACATTATTTGGAGGTCTCGCTGATGGTCTCGCTGAAGGCACTGTTTGACAAGCATGTATCAGCAGCGGAACCAAATCACGGGCTCATGACTCACAAAGCGTGAACCTTCACTTCAAGAGCGTGAGCCTCATGGCGATTTTGTTATCGGCGTGGCTGGCAAGGTAATTGTATACCCTTTGGAGTGCTGACTTGGGGCCGTCCTAGTTGAATAGACGGCTGGTCGTAACATTTGATGTTTCAGCAGTGTTCGGTGGTATTGGGCTGACAAGAGACTTACCTGCAGGATGCCTCACTTGCACTCTTATGGTCAAGAAGCTAGTCAAAAGTCACATGATTAGCTCAAATCGACAAGGCACATGGATATTTGAGCACTCACAAATGGATTCTGGCTAGTCAAGACTCATGGTCTTGCTGGCAAGCACGAAGACGGGTACAATGCAATAAACCACCCTATGGGTAGAGAGAGCCAGGTGACTTGGTGGCTTGGGTGTGCACTGTTAATATCGGTGACAGCAAGAGCTTGGGGTTCAAAGAGGGACTTATGAATCTGCTGCAGAAAGGCATCTTGGTTTCTACTCGAGGGAACCCTTCAGATACAGTCAGGAAGAGAATTATTTCGACAGAGAACCGAGGAAAGAGGCCATATTTATAGGTCTGTTGACTGGTCTTGTTACCGCCTGCTTTGTATTGCCGCGGTGAAGTCTTTTCTGTCTATCACTTTTGGGGGGCATTGCTTTCGGGGGGTTCGCATTTGCTTATGCAAAGTCAGGCCTGTTGAATTTTCTTTCCTGATGTGGTGAACCAGGCAAAAACCAAGTACAGGCCGGTGAAAAGTGAACGGTCATCTTAAGGGTGGATCATGCCCTCAAGTAATTTTCTGAAATGTTGAAAAAAATAATCAAATATTGAAATCTTTTTTCTTTATCTTTTTTTTAATTATAATTTGTCCTGAAGAGCGTTGATCAACCTTCAACCTTGTCTCAACGACCGTACTTTCAACACTTGAAAACGATATGCAGCGATCATCGCTCGACTGCGACAGTGTGCACTTTTATCACCATCATTTGAACTTCAGCATTGGCTGTTGATTTGAAGCAGTGGCAGACGAGCATGTTGTTTCCTGAGTAAGTCTGCACCAACGCGCTTCACTTGCTGATGCCGGATTTACAGGGTCCTGGCCATAGCCCACTGAAAGAATTTACCGAGTGGACTGTAGCCATGCCACATTGACTGTAGTACTACGGCTCTAACTTTGACCTGTCCTGGACAACACACATCGATGATTGACACCAGAAGCCGGACTTCGGCCAATGCTAGCCTTCGTATTCAGTGAGTCTCTAATACTGGGCCCCTGGAATTACTGAGCTGAACGGCCTAGGGGCGCCCAATGACTACAATTCTATACCTGGTATTTGTCTGTGCTGCCTTTGGGGACTGATGTTGTCAGAATGTAAAATAATTCTTTGCTATCTTCCAGACGCTACAGATCACGTTCCCAGATCTCCTGACTCTCAAATTCTAATTTCATGCGCTTTGCACATGGCAGCCTGACCAGAAGGGAAATCATGGACCTGCGCAAGAAGTTTGGTATCGAGCGAGGCAGATTTGGTTGTAGTAGTCTGGCCAGAAGGAAAACCGTAGTCCATCTCGGGATACTGAACTATCAGACCCAGATCTACCTGCGTCAGTCTAGAGGGAGGGTACAACGTGGTTCATCCCACGAGAGATTCTATCAGACGAGGTAGGTCTACCTGTGTTAAACTAGAAAGTCCGTGGTCTGTCGTAGGAAGTCAGTTATCTTGCGACAGGCCATGGTTCTCAATATCTCAAGACAACTGATTTCTTGTGATATGCTGTTTCTTACGACAGGAAACTGAAGTAAGCTCGCTGTGTACTGTAGCAACCCCTGATCATCTGCTGCTGACCTCAAGGACATCTCGGATTTGACGTTAAGCTGAATCCAAAAAAAAATTGTCATAGACTTCAAGGCCCATCAATTGATTCGACTATCATAGGCACCTCTAGCTTTCCGTCAATCCGTTGTTTTGCTATCTAATTCCCAGTTAAACACGCAAACGCGATCTCCTCGATACTTTGCCTGATACATTGCCTGATCCGCATGCTTCAGCAGGGTCTGAAAATCCAACCCATGGTCCGGATAGAGAGCAATCCCCAGACTCCCTCTCACGTTTTCCAATAAAATTCCATCATCCAAAGAATATGGTTGAGCAAATACCCGATCCAAAATAACACCAAGGGAGTTTCCTTCCATCTCGTCATGCTCGATACGATGCAAGACAGAAGCACTATTCATAATAACGTTATCATCATCCCACACAATAACGAACTCATCACCGCCCAATCGAGCCACTATGTCCTCCTGTCGAGATAATTGTCTTAATCGCGTAGCAGTCTCAATTAACACCTTGTCCCCGGCAACATGACCGTACGTATCGTTGACGAGCTTAAAGCGATCCATATCAAGCATGCCAATGGCAAAGGGACTTTTGTGAAGACCTTGAGTCGAACATGTCCTCTTCATTAGATGTTCGACGAGTAAATTGCGATTCGGAAGGCCGGTTAAAGAGTCATAAGAGGATTGAAATTGAAGTCTTTCAATCATCTCAATTTGTGAAGTGATGTCAAATGACACGGAGATGTACTTCTGGACCAGGAGACTGTCCTTATTGTGCCCCTCCATTCGTTGCTGGTCGTCATCGCAGCAAGATGCGTCTGGTGCCAATACAGGAATTATTGTGCAATAGAGCCAATACAGAGCACCATCATTTGCCTTGTTGCATATCTGTCCCCTCCAAACCGAGCCCTTAGCGATGGTGTTCCAAATGCCGCAGTAGAAGGCAGTAGGGTGGTGTTGAGATCTGATCAGACGGTGATTCTGGCCAATCAGTTCTTGTCTTGCATATCCTGATACTCTGCAGAATAAATCACTGATATTGAGAATCGTGCCCGTAGAGTCTGTTTCTGAGAATATAGTTGCGATATTGATGGCGGTCTTATAGAGGTCCCCCATGGTGTTGATGGGGCGTTATCCATTCGAATAATGAAGTATGCTAGTGCAAGAACAGTTCAAGGTACATAGTTGGGGAGGAAGGACATTTGCGGTGTCCAGTTCTCCCTCCGCCTTAATTGCTGATAATAGTGGAGTCTCCCATCCTTGCCTAACTTAGTAGGGCTCGGCTCTGCACTATAACGCCACCATAATGCCATATTATTGCAAATTAAATCTGTTGCTATAAGCGTACATGTCGCTTAGTACCTCCAAGTCCCACGAATGCATTGGTTGATAGATCCATAGGGTAGAAATGATTGAAATAAACGAGAATACAAAATTGGGGGATGGGTTCGGTCTCAAGTAGCGGTCAGTTATTATCTGCAGTGTAACAAGTAATAGGTATTAAGCCCGGTGTCTGCGTTGTTCATCTGGAGATATTTAGAAATAAAATGTGGGAACGCTAGTCACATGCATAATGACTCAATAATTCTTGGTAAACCGGAATTGCTCCGCGCGGGGTTTAGACCAACAACCGCTGTATAACTAGGGTAAGCTATAGGATCTATCGTCCCAACCTGGTTCTAACGGACTTCCGCAAGTTAACCTGGCCGGTATGATTTAGTCCGGGATTCGGGCTGAAGCTGAGAGAGATTTTCTCGAAAGTCAATATGATTGGGCTCAGCGGGAAGAGGGACAAAGCAAGGGATGGCGGTTTGGCGATTTTATCAGCCGGTACTCAGCTAGTTACAACTGAAGAAAAGGAAGTGATCAGCGAACGGAAAACATGTTGTCACATATTTATTGCAGTTGGCGCAATCAATCAGGCTCCAAGGTTCGCGAAATAATCATAGTAACCTGAGATAAAAAGCACTGAACGATCCTAGCTACATGTAACAAACACGGAACGCTTGCGCCTCCCGCACTGTCCATTGCTAGGATGAGTACCCGCCAATCAGACTGCTGGCACGGTTGCTCGGACTGCTCTGACCATTTGTTAACGTTCGCGCAAAACCAATTATACTGTTTTTATGGCCACCACCAGGTTCGGTAAAGGTAGTAGAAATAGTCAAGAGCTCTGATAACGAACATATGAAGGCGCCAGGATATGCGTGTTTATTCAGACCAACCGATTGTCGTCTCTATATCGGACCTGCGATGGTTCTTATCCTATGTGCTATGCTTACCAAGGCACGGGATAGGTCCTGCGAGGCAAAGAGCCCGTAGCTCCGTCATCCGTGCATCGAAAGTTGACAGAGGTATGCCACTGTCGACACAAAGAGGCGTAGTAGTTCACCGAAACAGAGGTGAATTACAATACACCAGACTAGGAACCCTTTGCTATCCTGCATTCATTCAACCATTGGCGACATTATCTTGACGGAAGTAATCACTAAATTGGAGTCCTGTCTGATCAGGCTAATCTGCAAGCATTTATGCGCCAGCCCAAGGTTAATGGAAGATAAGTTTGGTAGTGTATATTTATTATCAAAACACAGGTCAGGGAAAACCAACCTACACATGCTTCGTCAAGGATGTTCAAAAGGGCCGGGGACGCTGAGGATCCTGAACATGTTGTTTCATCATAATAAGGTTCTACTGACCGGATAGTGAGATGAATGGGCAGGGTTCGTATGCCGAATTAGCAGGTTTTACTAAATAGAAAATAACTTGCGACGGTCGAATAAACCACAGTGCGCTCGTAATTCTGCGTTCAATATACTCTAACCCTACACAGTATGATATTCGCACATAAGCGAGGGAATTTATATGGCAAGAGAATACGCTTCGTTCAACAGTTCAACCACAGTCATCCCTAGCGTCGAAGTTTCAGATATATGTTTTGTCATCAGCCTAAATGGTCGTCCAAGCTCCTATGCTCATAGCCCGCACAGTTTCCAGTCGTTTGCCAAAACCCACATCGGTGGCAAGTTGTTTGACCTCAAACTCCGCGACCAATATATTCAACGTTGTATGAACTTTGCTCCTAAGGACCGGATCGCAGAATTCACCGATGGCGCGTTGCTGATTTGAAAGATGTTGATATCCAAGTCAAGGTGGCGGCGCCACCATTTCCGAATCTCAACTTTCACCAGTCAGTCAACTCCGAGATCGGATATGGCCCTGTCGTGGTTGAACCCCTCTTCTGGTATAGAGAGCAAAGAACAGAACATGCGACAAACTTCCTTGGTGAGTATCTCCAAGCTAGCTGGATCCGCCAAGGTAGAGCTATCTGCAGCTATGCTCGATGGGAAATCTTTTAGTGGGGCATCAGTGGTGTCAAGATTGCTTGCTGAGCCCGTGAGATACTGCTACTGTGCTTGCGAAGCAAAAAGAACGATTCGCTTTGTAGAACCTGCGTCACGACAGAAGCGAAGGCGGCTTTGATGTTGATGGCCCCGTCAATTTATCGCCGCCTCACAAGTACCGTAATATGCAATTGGGCGTTTATTTCCTTGGTTTGGGCTTACAGAGCATACTATCGTGACTGTCGCAAGAGAGAAAGCAAAATAATGTGTGTTGTTTGTTGAAGTAACTTCTTGCGCTCCACGAAGCATCGCTGGTGATTATAAAGAAACTAGGATTCGTAGTATGTTGAGATCCACCATTACAGAGCCGACGTAGGACACGCTAGCTCAAATGTCAACGGCCCGATCCTGATTTGATATTTTAGTTCTAGTCTTCGACATATGCTCCCGCGCCTAGAGAGATCGCTCCTGTCAATTTTTCGACACCATGAACGCCTTCCGCAAAGCCCTCTCCCTCCAATTTCGCGACAGCGCCACAAGCATATACAGTCGGCCTGCTGACCCCACACAAGATGCCGAGCTGATTGCAATGACCACTGTTGCTCCGCCACTCCAGACGTCTTTCCCAGAAATCAACTCACTCGATCACCAGATTGCCATGGCCGGAGGGTCTACGATGGCTGTAGAAGCGACGCGGCCCCGACTCAGGATGTCGAAAAGATCTCCCAAGACCACGCCTCGGGCACTGAAACAGCAATGGCTGCAACAACGAAAGCAGCAAGAGCAAGAGAATGATTTTTACACCGATTGTTTCAAAAACTTTCATCGACTCGTCGCAACCGTGATAGACTCCACTCAGGACCTAGCTCTGTAGTACCATTTCAACCCTGGAGTAAGTCCCGCTGGAGATCCCCGCCTAATCCAGACGATCGTATTGCTCCAAACGGCTTTGGACAAATCGCGCATGGAGGAAGCGCAGGCAGAAGTCGAATGGAAACGACAATGTGGGCTTTTGGATGAAAAGATTGCCACGAGATGGGTATAAGGCGAAGGGTCTTCGGTTTCCTGGCTACGTTGCATAGATCTGGGACAAACATTCTACGTGGATCCATGAGATGTGTGAACATTTCGATTGTAAGCTAGGTGAATACAAAACTTCTTGCTTCGAAAATGATGGCGTATTTCTCTTAGCGGGTGCTACATCATATAACAGTCACATTTGTCCTTTGGTGGCTCGTAAGCTAGCCTGTCGCCTTCCTTGACTTAGGAAAACTCGAGCTGTAGAAAGCCTCGAATTTGGGACACTATGCGCTGCTCGATGTCTGCTTGAACTCTTTCCGTGGCCTCTGGTAGTAATTACAATCGGCGTCCGAGCTACTCGGGGTGAGCGTTGCACAACTGTACTTGCATTCTCACTTTACCTCTCAGCTGGGCTTGTAGGCGGTCTGAGGTATGAAGCATGGTCTTCACGAAGCGATGAAGTCGACGGAGGCTTCTTGAGCTTCTTCCGCTGGCGATGCTTTCCATAAAGCCGATTGCGTGTCGTACCATTTGAAGCAAGATATCTCGGGCTTGTGGAACGCGGTGAACAGAAGCGTGGCGAATATTGCTGATCACGCGATGCCATTTTTGAATTGATTGCGCTGGTGGATAATAAGGTTGCGACTCTATTCTCCCCTTGTGGTCGGCCAAGAATCCAAAAATCTTATGTAACTCGATTGCCTCGACGCATGTCCAGCCTACAGCTTGAGACTTGGCTAAGAGACATTTCTGAAGGAATCGGAAGATATGGTCTTCGAGGTGGTTCTGGATCGCCTGCAGAATAGCGTGTTAAGCTAGGAATGGAATCGAAGATTTTGAACTTCTCAGTCGTGGTTCTATCAGTTCCTGTGCGTCTAGTCGCGAAAGAAGTCAGCGCTAGTTTGGGTGTTGAATATGCGCACCTACAGTACCTATTGACACTAAGACCTGTTCCGACGGCATGTTTTCAAGACAATGGTGTAGATCTTTAAGAGCTTCTTCCCTGGAATGTAGCCGGTCTGATGAGAAAAAAAGAACGCAATGCGAATAAGTTGGGCTCGCTAGATATACCTACGCGCATACGGCGTTTACGTATAAAAACCCACAGCTTCGCGCTTTTCTGCAGGTGACCAAAAATGAGACCATATCGCCAGCCGGGGTAAGACATAGGCTTTTCAGCTAGGCGACCGTACTAGCAACATTTTACGGTAAGCCTCAAATATTTAAGGATGAGTTACAGGGTATAAATCCAATCGCAGAGTCTCCTCATGGCCATCACATCAGACTATATGTAGTTACTACTATGATCGCGTTAAAGATCTTTGTAATGGGATTCTTTATAGCATGCTCAGTTGTGTATACCCTATTCTGCTTACCCGACCTGCTTATATGCTGATAAAATATCAGATGTCTAGGCCCCTTTGGCCATCGGCGTTTACTTCCAAGGAAAGCACTACGATTGTGAAAGTAAGTCTTGTATAGGTATCCTATGCGTAATTAGGCTTTAGGCTAAATGGTATAGATCACTCCCTCCCTTCTAGCTCACGATAGCGACCGAGACGGAGAAGAATATGGTCATCGCCTAGGTATTCATCACCTCCTTACTCTTATTTCAAACGATTCTTATGTGAAATCTAGTCCATTTTGATCCAAGTGCAAGCCACGGAAGAGCACATTGACACCATCGGCGGCGTTCAATGGACCCCTGAAATTAATCTATGTCACTTCTGAGCGCTTAAGGACCATTTACTAGCAGCGGAAAGGGAATGATATATGAGATTTAAAGAAGAGCAAGATTTTCAGAAACAGTAGAAACTAGCAATAGAAATGGAATATAATAGTGACATTGTGTTTTTAGGCGAGACTTGATGCGATTCAAACCGTGGCGTGCATGACAGCCGCGAAGATCAGCAAAGATCGATTCTCCTAAAGCGCGCTTCTGGTACTGCGTATCCCAAGTCGGCTGTTCTATAGATGCTCCTCCAACGCTTTCCAAGCATCACTTAAATGGGCCAGAGAAGAGATCACAGGTCGCCTCGTCTCGGCAGGCCAGGCAGAAACCGCATAATCACAAGGCGTTTTATTCACGGCGGAGCGTTTTTGCTTCAAACATCAGTATCCCAGTATTTGATTCTTCAGATACTAGAGTCTTATAATTTCTTCTCGTGAGGGCGGAGGAACGTGAGGATGCGAATAGTAGGTGAAGATTTGCCCATCTAGCTACTCTATGATGAGCTATGTTTTGATCCCATATAGCAGCTAGAATTCATTATAGCGACGAAGTAAATTATTACGGCGTTTTCGGAGTTACTCTCGCTTGACACGACTTAGAGTTTGAGCCATTAGTAGGTTAGATAGAGTAATTTACAGATACTATTGACGCCGGGCGTCGCTCTCTTTATATATGATGGATGGGGTGACCGCAGAAAAGGCCTACTCAACGATCGCCACAGGGTTATGAAGTTTGCTTGGTTATATTCTACGACCGCCGAAATACAAGGTTGGCTCCGTCCAAAAAGGCATATGGAGCACCGGCATACTCGAGTCATTAGCAAAATTTAAAGCATCACTTTCTAAGATTTTCACTATCTTTAGCTCGCTTCCTTATAAAACTCAGTATGCTCAGAATCCAGATCCGAAACCTGTATTAACTTTCAATTTCTCAAGTCCTATACAAACAGACCACTTACTAGGATGCTATTCCCACATGCCTATTCTCAGACCACCAACGAAAGCATGTGTGCCAATATTATTTATACCCCCACAGATCCTTTGCCCAATCATTCTTGCTGACACATATACGAAGATCTCTAGTATGCAACGCTCCCGTATGAGGAGCTCCACCCCATATAACGCATCCGTCGACACCCGCCAGCCGACAGTTATCATTATCGATATCACTTAAGACATCACGTTACCTAAAGATGCATCGAAATCTACCCCCTGGCCTATATTTAAGCCGTACTTTACATCGATCAGAATAGACTCAACGCCCTCAGATGTCAATTCACAGCTTTTAAGTGCTTCGCTTGAATACTTCAAGAGCTTAATAGAGGTAAAGGCCCCAGAAGAAGACACTTCTACCATGGCCTTACCAGATGTTAAAGTCACAGGTATACCTCATAAGGCAGGCAGTGATTATGGCGATGGTGTTACTGATCTTTCAAGCCATGTCACTGCAACTATTAGCTTTGCATCGTGGCCATTAGTTACTGTTAACAAGGGCCCCTCTTTCGCAGTCGCAACGGTAAATGCCAATGAAAAAGCCGCGGAGACCTTACCAACCCCAACGTCTCGCGACACTTCCAGGCTCTCTTCGGCTGACTTAGAGCATACAAGCAGCGGAGCTCCTACCCGCTACAAGGAACCAACGGAAGCCAAGAACGGTATAGATTTCAGTAACTCCACCATCCAACGTTCGCCATGGCACACCAGACTCTCCCACGGGGCTAACGGTGGCAAAACACTTATAACAACTGAATATGGATGGCCGACGCTGCCAAGTACATACACGGAGACAGGAAATTAGACCCCAAGTCCGTCAAGCACTACGAGAACCCCGGTCCCTAGACCGCATGGCGCCATCATGGATGGGACCGAGTTTTCAAGACGGCTTTCCCAACGGGGTGTAGCATTAGTACTTAGAAGTGTAGCTGGGGGAACTCTGGTTTTCATCTACATGGTTTTTTCGCACCAACTCATTCTTCGGTTACTCCACAGAAGCGAGCAGGGATCAACACGTCGTAGGCCATTATCGATAGATGATCCATTTATCAGGGAGATCCCCACAGTCTCTTCTAATATTGCTAGTATTTCACATTTTTCCGCTGACTCTTAAGATATACGCTATATTGACTATCAAGACTTAGTAAAAAGGTATGTATATCGCTTTAAACCGCTAGATAGATTTGTTTTGGCTTATCGCATGATCAATGAGCAAGTCGGGAGTCACAATATAAAACAAAGCATTGTACTATTTCATGATGTAGCTCTATTTTAGCATATTTAGAGCAAGTACATCTTTATTATCGCCTCATTCACATCAATATTGGATTTGCGGGATTATACTCTATTCATGTATCAGAAAAGTAAGTTCGTCCGATTTCTGAGTGATCATATTCTGAAGTGCGAATTAGACATTACGATGCATCAAAACCTTGAGGAATTAGTGAATTACTGTATGCTTGCAATCCACTCATAAAACATGTTTCGGCTATTATGATCCCGGGCCATGATATTTAAGAATCCTGCCACTAACTGCTTCTCAAGCACCAGCGCCGCCTATCGTCTATCTACATCCAAACCATCAAACCCTGCCATTCAGATAGACCATACCTTTGTTTAAGTTTTCAGAGCCCGCAGTGATATTATCCAGAAGAAAGTCCCCGGAGAATCAACTTCTCGGGCCAGATGAATTACCCATCCGCATCTTGGTTGTTCTCTTCTTGGTACTATACAACAAGCCCGGCTCGCCTTCCAACACTCTTGGAGATGATACCAAGCCGCCACTCCTACCAGGTCGTATAATAGTTAGCAAGTCCAGCCCTCGCCACCTTCGCTCTTCGGATCACAGGATAGCTCAGCAAGATCTACGATGGAAACTACTTACCCGACAACAATTCGCCCAAAAGCAGAGAGACGTGGAACGAAAGGGCTTGATCTCACCAAATGAGAAACCGGCAGACATGGCCCCCATCTAGACCAGACTTAGGTGTTTAAAGAAGAGAAACGGGTCTAAGTTGAAACGAGCGTGCCAACTCCTGCACTGTGGCTCGCGCCATCTCTCCCGCATGCTGCTGAGTGTAGATCCGCCCTTACAGAAGCTAGGGACTAACCCAAACATCCAGTCACCGATCACATTGAAGGCGCCAGCGGCCTTCGCAGAGCAAAAGAATTCTTTAGGAGCCATTACGCTTCGATGGCTCGCTAGAAAACTTTCTGAAGAGTCTACCGGGCGAACGACGATGGAGTTTTAGACACTAGTGACTCTGGTAGCGCAACACTATGCTGCTTCAAATGCATAATCTCCTCTTCTTGTTTTCAAGACGTGAGCCTAGGAGGATCATATGTCTCCCCGCTCGTAGTAAAGTACACGATCGAGCTAATTTATGCTCGGTTACAATGCTCAGCGGATTCCCCATGGGACCTTAGAAATAGAGATTCTCTATTAGCTTATTAGTAAAGAATCGGGTAGCTTAGTTTTCAAACCATGATCTTAGGGCTTTATTAAATAGATGCGTTCGCTACCTAATCTAAGACCATGTAGTCTATATGTACCAAGTGCTCCCTGTGTCTATAGTATGTGTATTAAGACTTCTCTTATAAATACCGAAGGATATAGTAACCAACTTCATTACGGACAAGTCGGAGAAGCCTTAACATAAAATCACCTTATATATATTCATTACACTACGCCTACCAGAACGACCTCAAATTGTCTACGCCACACGCTAAACGCTAACATCCATTATCTATGGCATCATTCTGCTAGGAGTTTTCGCCTTTTGTTCTTCCAACCACCTCATTGCCCTTTACATCGGGGTTTCTCCGTCAATCTATTTCCTCTTCCTAGGGGGGCCATCTACATTAAACTCCGCATAGAGCTCTAAAGCAGGAAACTTTAGGTAGTGGGTATAAATCTCGTCTAGACTAATATAACGACCAGTCATTCCAGGGAGGACATCGGAGTCAGTCCCAGGAGCGACGTCGAAAACGAAGACCCCGAAGTTATGTTATGTGAGCCCTTCGCCAAATTTAGATATGAAACGCTGATCGATCGGCAAATTCAAAGTCTCTCTATTCTGCCCAATCTTGATATGCATGATATATCCAAATAGTTATAAGCTACCCGCCGAGGCTGGAATCAGGGGAGTAAATAAGTCAACTATAGGGGCAGATGAATACATCGACAAGTCGCTAGGGGCTTCTGCGGTTATATAGGGCGCCGTTGGGGCGGTCGGATCATGAGGGTATCCTTCGGCGGTGTTGGTGCGATCGTCCCATACCGCGCTATCTGCTTCGACACCGCGATGCCCTAACGTACCGCTCCCGTCACTATCTATGAGGTACCTAAAGAACGCTTTAAAGACCCATCGGCGGAGGAATGCTGCCAACACACGCGTCGCTGGTTCAGGCTACTATAGCGACTCGGCTAATAGGGGGCGAACCAATCTGCCTGCCGCGTATCGGCAAAGGGCTTTCCGCATCTCTTAGCAGCATCAATTTCCTGCGAGGGATCCTCTGGGTAGTCACAAGGTACTAGACGCGGAAGCTCGATCGCGGGGGACGATTGCGTCATACTACCGGGCGGTTGAAATCCCCTGGCTCTCAGGATACCACAGAAATGCCGCCACATGGCTGATTGGTGGAGTGGAAAAGCTTAATCCGTGTCTTAGTCCGGCGTATGCTCATTGTTAAGGCTCTTAAGACATTTTCGGCGCTGATGATCAGTCAACTCAAACCCATACTGGAAACTGAACCGCCAGAACTCTAGGAGATCTGCCCGTAGACGTTCCTTCCTCAGCGTTATCGGGATAGTAGTGTCGAAGATACTGTACACCCCGGTGTTAATGGTGAACTTCTCGTCGCGCGGCTAGATGAAAAGTCGCTTCATCACACTTTACGCCACTTTAAGGTAGAGGCGATCCTTGAAAAATGTTTTTAGCGTTGGTACTAGATAATCGATTGCTTTCAGTCGTTCCTAGATGTCCTTTCGATAATCCTCTTCAAACTCTGCAAAGAGCGTCCCCTCATCCATTTGGAGTTACAAGAACTATAAGTCATTTGCGGAGAGCTTTGGCGCACGGGCTTGGATCAAACCAACAGTAACCCCGTCTATCAGAGGTAGCAGATCAGTCCTTCCCCCGACCAGTGTCAGGAATGTCTAGAAAATCAGGTCCCAGTAGCAGATCATTAGCTACATGCGGCATCCATATTAGTCAGGATCTACCCATTCACGAAAGGATGACCAAATATTAACGCACCTCATCGCAGTACATGGCGGTCACTTTATATAGCAGTCCAATCCACATACCTTCCCAAAGTCCCCAGATGACCAGCAAGGAATTTAGCTTTCGATGGAGGGCCGCATTCTTAAAGAAACGTCGCAGGTATCCACCTTTTTTGCTACCCGCCACGGCCTGCAATATAACCCACCAGTTATTAGCAGCCAATCGGTCCTCGGGCCCATCCAGGTACCCTTCGTAGTAGTTGATTCGCTCATATATCAACCCATCGGGTGGTCGGTTATCGTTTAGGTATCTTTCTTTCAAAGATTAGACGAACTTTCTCTATAACACGTCTCTATCAAGATCTTGACCCTCTAAGGCGGTATCAGAAATGTCAGCTTCCGTCGCATCGAAGAGAGCCTATAGGGTAGAGCTTATAGGCAAGAACTCAAAGGAGAATCAACTTACCTTCATCGTCAGTCACAAAAACATCCACAATCCACCACTGGTCTTCAGGATCGAGCTTTTTTCGAGCCGCAGCGATCAGATTCTCGTGATCCAATGCACGAAGTCAGTAGTCCAGGTCTACATTCAAGCTAGGCATAATCCCGTTGCCGTAGCGCGGACTCACACGACGCTCCCAGTCAGCCCGGGGCACAATCACGGGCACATGGCTGTCTCCCACGAGCCGCCGACAGCCTTGGATTTTCAGCGTTCTCTCTAGGCGCTAGACATTATCACGGTTATCCATCCATGCGCGGAACCCTTTTTCAAACGTCAGGTGTGAGAGGTGCACCCTGGCAGATAACTGGAAGTGACTTTGATGGTACGAGAATAACTTGCGCTCCAGATCTGCCAATTCCGCTTGTCTTGTAGGCGCCATGGTAGCTCAGATTGGTCCTTTGAAGTGCATAAATCTGCAACCAAGATCTAGACATGGAGGATTGTCGCGAGGCAACTTTATATCAAGTCTAGGTCTGATCTCTAACATGGACAATTGAGGCGACAAATATGTCCTCATGAATGTATGGCTCCAATTACGCCTCGCTATACTCTTGGACCGCGAAAGTGCGCCGCCTACTTATTGAGGTCAACGGGTCGGCATATGTGCCTAGCTCAAGAAGTGAGCACTTGAGTTTGGGCAAACATTTCAGCCCTGCATCACAAAGCTCAACATAAGATTCAGACCCTGTACTATTGTCGCAAATAATGACACTCAAGGACAGGAGAGATACATAGTGAGGCTTTCTGTACAAATTCACAAGACATCATCCTCGGGACATCAACTGCCTTCTTCTTACTTAACATGACGCCCTCTACACGGAATATCAGGGCTTGGAAATTCTTGACTCATCTCACTTGAATGTCTTTTACACCACTGCCTTAATTCGACTTCTCGTGCAGTCATTATGAAGCTCCCCGGGGGAAGCAGATTAGACCAGATGATCTCAGCGATCGCATTGTCTCTATCGGTGGCGGTTCTTATCTATCTGTCTTTTGTCTTTGTCGGTTGCTCCTCACCGTCTGCTCCAAAAGGCTTGTACTTTATGAAAGTGGGATACTCTTGCACTCTGCATTGCATGAATCACTGGCTAAACACGAAGTAGATCGACCTTACCGACTTTCTATGATTCGACCATTTGGTCATCCGCGACTCTCCCGTTATCCCCAATATCCACCCCCTAGATATCAACGAAGTAGCTAGAGGGAGCTTCGCTGACGTAGTGTCCAGCGTAAATGCTGGCGCGGCTGAGATATCCACGGCCACGTTAGCTGCTTAAGGCGCGATTTATGCTCAATTGACCGAGTTGAAATCACATCTGTTTTAGTACTATTATGTTGGGCTCTGGGGCTACTGTAAATCACGCGATGGCTCTAAGGTCGTTTGCTCTGAGCCTCGCACGTCTTTCTCTTTTGATCTGTCCGCCGTGCTTAACTCTACGCCCGTCGAAATCGACAAAGTCCTGCCAAAGGTCGATTAAAAAGCCATCTCGGGCTATCGACAGCTTTCGCACGGCATTATCGGCCTTTACGTTTCTGGATTTATCACCACCATCTTGGTCGTGATCCTTGGGGCTCGGAGGACCTTTTTGGCTCGGGGCAGCAAACTCCTTACCCTATTTTGCATAGTAAGTGATACCGAAATCGCTCTTATGACACGTCTCTGATATGAGTAGGTTTCGGCATTGCTGATCGCGGTCGCCACGGTCGGAGTCACTGTCATGTACGGTCTTTTCACTGCGGGAATCAAAACAAGCTTGCACCCATTTGGCGTCCGGGCTGGATTGGGAGGACAGATGTTCACGGCAATATGGCTAGCGGTATCTTTCTCTGTTGGCGCCTTCATCATATGGCTACTCCAGGCTTTCTGTTGTTGTATTTAGTTGCCGCGCTGGTGTAGTTTCGCCGGTTGCCAACGCAAATTGTGGATCTCAAACCCATGTCGTGGCCCGTTGGTGCGATTTTGGGGGAGAGTTGATTTGACTGCTATGAAGTTTTGAGATACCAATGCCTTGATATTTAGATTCTCAACTAATTTATATCCTCGTGCTTTGATCTCCGCATTCACTTCGTGCCAAGCTTTGACCATTCCACAGGTCGCGAGAAAAGATAGTGGATTGAACAGTACAAATTGACACGAAACAAGAAAGAATTCCAGGCTGTAACCTCAACCATGTCTGCTAGTTCTTTTCAGGCGCGAGTCGATTTGGTCTTTGTTGTCTCCGATGGCATGTCTGCCAAGCGGGGCGGCATTTGGACTGTTGTACAGCCTCTTTATGGGTTTCAAAACGTCCCGAGCGGAGAAGACGAGATCAACCGGGCACAGCTCTTCGCAAGTGGCTTGCGCTTCGCATGCCTGTTCAATCAAGCCTGAGTTTGTTCTGAAGCTGCCACAAGATTCGGTGGACGGAGTAGGCTGAATGATCGCCATCTGATTTATAGATGCTTCGTAGTTCGATAGACGTCTGTTCCGTGAGGTCTTGCAGTAATTTGAAAAAGGCATAGCAATCACGATAGTACGCATTCTGTGCCCGCTGTCGACCAAGTTCACGAACAATGTGCTCGTTCCCGCTCATTCTTGTACGCGGCGGAACTTGCAAAGAATTGAAGATGTGTACACGCTACCTCGGCACTGTGAGATTGACAAATAGCCCCAACTGGCTCTGGCAGTTAAGTAAAAAGTCGATCAATTGATGAAGACTGGTAATAAAAAGTCGATCAATTCATGGAGACTGGGAGACTGGTGAGCTGGGAAAAAATCCCAGAGACTCGAGACTGGTGATTCGAGACTTGGTTCAACTGGTGATCAAGTAGCCTTGAGGGCCTCACTTTTTAGTGCCCGTTTGAGTGATGTCGGAAATTTCACCTCTCCGTTTTGGAACCATTTTCTGGTGATTAACAGAATTTGCAAAAATTCTTTCACAGACATACGGGTTATCAATATGCTCCGCTCGTTTGTCTATAAATCCAGAGACGCACCCAAGAATACTATACTACTTAGCAAACTCTGTCAGTTTCAGCTTCGCAATGAATGCGATCAACCCCCAAGACCTACCCGACCGCGTGCTCGGTGCCATCATCAGCGGTTTCGGGATCTCTTATTTCTTTGTTTTTCTCCTGCAGTTTCTCCTATTCCACTTCCCCTCGTCCCAAGAGGCCATTCCAGAAGCTCTCGCGGTGATTGCGTTTGGTGTGGGTGTCATGCTTTGGTACCTAGGTGTCTTCTTCCATTAGGCTTTCCGCACAGTCCACGAAAGATCCACTGAACAACAGCTTAGACTACAAGCTGGAGTCCTATTCTTGATCTAGACAGCGGCAATTCCGACCATTATCTTCCTTTTCCCAGCTCAGCCGTGGCTACAGCTTGGATATACATCGGCTTTGGCTGTCATCGCGATTGGAAGCCTACCTCAAAAGCTCCTATGTGATGTCAACAACCAGAAATCTCTAGACACATCTTCCATTCATCTAGCATCGGTGATCATGTTGTCTTTGACGCCGACAATTCATGCCCTGGCCGAGCCAGTAACCGGCGCTTCGCCATTGGCGATTGCTTTTGGTCGAATGGTCATCATCGGTTCACTGTCTTTCGCGTTTTACTTTCTTCAGCCACTGGAGCGCATCGGCCTTGCCAGGATATGGCAGCTCAGTTTCCACGGGATGCACATGATGTTGACGTTCAGCCTCGTGGCGTATTCCAAGGCAGTGATGCAAGCCGCAGTTGCTCGCATGTAATGATCTGTATGCTTTGGACGGACCTTCTCGAATGTACGAAATGGTCCCTTGCGCCAATCTTCTTTTCTCTCAGGATTTTGCTTGCGAGCGCAGGAGATGATGAGCGCTGCGATATCCGGGGAGGTTGCTTACGGCTGTATCTACATCCAGTCTCTCTGGTCATAAATTGAACTTGAATCTGTCACATTGTCTGCCTCATCTTTTAGACTTGGTGAATTGGATGAGTCAGTACTTACGTTCCTCCTTAAGACATATACATGGTCGAAATGTGATTTTGTCTGGTAAATCCGCGTTGCCTGCTTGATATATAGATAACACGTTCTCGTGAGTTGTCCCGAAACAATAAGCAAAATATTCGGTTTTTTCTTCACCCCTACAGAGAAAAAATCAGTATCTCATGCACTAGTACTATAATGCAAGTCCTTATACTAGACTTGTGCTGGGCAACTGTACAGGGGGCTTATAGTGCCCCTCGAAAGCAAGTCTGCAGATTCCAAAAGACAAAATGATCATCGCTCGTGTATGAGTCCCTCGCCTCAATAGAAGATTTTGCTCCTTTTTTGGTAAACTATGTGTTCATCGGTCAATAAGCCTGGTCCTGAACAGTATCACGTCTTCATGCGCGTCTAAACTCTCCAGCACAAATGCATTCCCAATGCTCGTTGAAAGCCCGTTCTGTCTACAAGATCTTTGAAGATAAGTCTTTGTCACCTCAGAATATGAGCCATTGGGATGTCAGGACTTGTTTCCATTCGACGAGATTTTTGAAGTCTTCGCTGTGACGCTGCGAGTCAGCAAATGTAGGGCCCTGATACAACCTTGGGTCACAAATCTGATAGCGGCGTTTTTTAGGTGCCAGTTATTCTGTACATCCAATGTCAATATGCGGCGGAAAACTTGTGGAGACAAGAAAAACTCTCTAGGGTTCGAACGACAACTTCCTGCAACCATCATGAATGAGAATGTATGGCCATTGTTCAGATACATAAAGGCTCTCCCTCGCTAGGGAAATATCAAGATTTGTATCGTCCGAAACCGTGACCATGATTTCCAAGCAGATTGCCCCATCAGTCTTGATGGCCGTGATTTTGCTGCTCAGCCTGATCAGGTTGTTTCTGTTGTATCGCTTTGGATCCAAATGGTCCGCCTACAAAGCTGACTATGCCCTGGGTACGACATCCTGCATTCTATTTGCTATACTATCAGGCCTCTTCTGGAGCAAACAATATCCAGCGTGGAGTCAAATACTGCTTTGGCTTTCAACCATCTTTCCCCCGCTTCAAGTAGTAGGTCTCGCAACATCTTTTGAGATTCAATTCGTGCTAAGGGATTACAGTCTCTTCGGATCAACTATCAGCAGCGCCGTTTTGAAGAGACACCGCGAATGCTTCTAGTCGCAGCCCGAGCTCTTGTCATACTATCTAGCATCACCAAACTGGCAATTGCGCTCATCGGACACTCTATTCTAGACTCTGTATATCAAGGTGGACTTTTCATTCTCTGTGCCGACTATTTTGGAGTCGCGATATGGTATTGGTGGCTCCTTGGGCACGAACCTGAAGGCCAGATGACGTTCAGACGGGTTTCATGCTATATGTCGATCATGACTGTCATACTGCTGGTCATTGCGATTACCGGCATTCAATGGGTATCATGGGTAGTGGCACTTGAGGTACCTTCGCCCAAACCTTTCAGAAAGCCGTTAGGATGCTGACAAGAGACAGGCTCAACTGATTATCATCTACATCTGGGCATCGTTTGAAAGATTAGTCGTGTGAGCGGCACTGCTGCATGACTCATTTATTGGAGATTGAGGTCCAATGGGGCTGAAGCTTAGGTCAAAGCTCTTGTCCTGACCAGTGTTTCCTTTCAGTCTTCCGCAGGTGTTACTCCTAATTCGAACAAGTCTCCAGGCATGGCTTTCATGTATTGCTAGATTCATTATTCATTGATCATAGTGTTTAGCCATTCTGACTGACTGTGTAGTATCCTATCAGGCCAATCCGCTTGGCGTCCTCGTAAATGCTAGCAGTATACGTGGTAGAAATGAAAAATCTCCCCGTTTGACAACCTTTATTTTCGTACGTCTGAGAAGCTTCCAAACCTGCTTCCAAGAGCGTTTCGAAATGGATTGGGCGTCCATAGCTATTAATCGAACGATGCACGATGAATCGCAAAGTTTCTTTTGATTGACGATGTTCTTAGGTTTCTTGACAAGCTACATTGATTGAAGGACACGTTCTCGCTGAGTCTGGAGTCCTGTTTTATTGAATTTCTGCTGGAGAGGAAACTCTTGCACTTAAGGCGACGCACATGACAAAAGGTATACAGTATCCAGCATTCTCAACTTAACATCCTGTCTTCCTCCTCAATTCGTCCCGTGTTATCGGTAACTAGGCACGTCGGTGTGGTTTTGGACGTAGTCTTCGCATCCAGCTCAGCCTCAGAGCCTCCTGGCTGGGAGTTCTTTCTTTGGATTGATTTCTTTTAGTGGGCTGCTTTCGGTCGAGGTCCGGCTGTCCCACTAGGAGTGAGAATTGTGGCCCATGGGTTTGGCTCGGAATCCGCATTCGAATGGTCATTTTGGCTGCATCGCGGATTTTAAGGCGTCGGGAAACGCCGGAAGTGTCCTGTCTATTATGGCGAGAGAGGCTCTTTTGGCCTGAAAAGTTGGAAGTATCTCCCAGAAGCAGTGCTTGCTCGGGGTCATTTCTGACAAATTTGCGGTTGGACGAGCGAGTTCTTTGAGCCATTTCTGGGATTTCTGGGAGAACAGAGACTGTGATGTGTGAAAGAGGTGCTGGACTCCCACTATTTATATCCCAAATCAAGACTGAACAGGCAGTAGTTCAAGACACAGTATTAGAATCAAAAGTTGTTCATTCACATCCATATGACCCGCAAGAAATCCCCTTCTTGATGGGCCGGATACTGACAGAGAAGGAAGCAAGGGGATACGACCAGCTAGATCATATTCCTGCGTTTCTTTGCCTCACTATGATGGTCTCAAGTGTGAAGAAACATTGATACGGGCGCTACGCTATCTTGACAGTAGCTTTGACTTTTATGCGTCTGATAAATGATGCCGACATTGCACAGCAGATGGTTTCCCAGATAAACAACTCATAAGATTTCAACACATTTTCGGCCAAACTTGCAATGCTCGCGATGCTTCTTGGGTTGAATGAAAAAGCAGACACCTCCAAACACAGTTGGCTTGCAAAACTAATTGGATGCTAAATTATTTCGGATTCCTATGGTAGATACGCCATGAAGAATGGGACCGCCTTTACTTGAGTTGCCTAATTACAGCGGACGGCTCTTCGAGTGAGTGCGATCCAATTGCTGGTCTCTAGATAGCGGCATTGTGTGCCTCCAGTATGAGTATATCAAACCGGACACATGATGACTAAATGCAACAGCCACAAGCGAAAGAAAACGAGAAAGTAGTGTCGAGTAGCCCCTGCCATACTTGTGTGTACCAGCCCACTCTTTCCGCTCGGTTGACATTCACAGATGACTGACTCGGTCTTGTCATCGACCCTGCACTCATTCGTCTGCAGCCGCGCCCTGAAGAAGATTCTTTAGTACGACCTGGCTACTGTACGGCTGGTGCACACCGAAGCTATGCGAAGAATAGATTTATTTCATTATTGATGCAACTTTCAGACTTACAAATGCCATCTTGATATTGAGCTGTAAACTTGCATATAGATGAGAGAATAACGCGATGGTTTTATCAGTGCTCATTGTAGTCAGTTGCGGTGAATCTGTTGCAAGCGTCTAGACCGACGAAGGGACCCAGACACACGAGAGCCGCGGGGCTGATAAGATTGTCTTGCCAGTCTGGCTGGCCGACGCCGTTCGACACTTTGAAGCGAAGGCCCGGGCAGTATTTCAATATCCCTCGTTGTATCCGCAGCTGAAGCTGAACAGCTGATGCCTGCAGTGGCATCGTTGACAGCTCTTTCAGTGTCTGCAGAAGCCCTGTGGGGGCGGATGAGCGCATCCACAGCCCCCTCGTTGCGACTTTGCGCTATTAGCATGTCAACTAGGCAAAATTGGGAATGCTGTCACTCACCAGACACAGCACGATATCTCGAATCCTGCATCCCGCTTGGCCAGCCACTCCTCTGTACAGGCTAGGTGTGATAAAGCCCTACACTCTGTGCAGCGCAAAACCGCGCTCTCATTTGCATGGTCTTCGTCATCGCCCAGGCAGAACATGCAGTAAACATCAGAAACCTCCTCGCTCCGGCTGATGGAGTGCAAGTGTATGCCTTGCAGACCAGCACGGATGTTGGTGATGCATGACAGGATAGCTGGCTGAGCTGGTGAGACGCACCAAGGGACACTGTTTGCTCGCAGCGTTGCAGCCGTCACATAAGATCCCATACTCCGCGGTAGCCTGGTGATGGTAGATGGGGAGGAGTCGCTGTTCTCGTCTGAACTTGGCTGTCGAGCATTGTCAGACTCTGCAAGCTGGGAATTGGTACTTTGGCGTTGAGGTGAGCGCGAATGTTGTGATTGAGCAGAACTTTCAGGGTCATGGTCTGCCTGCGCTTGATTTCGGACGGCTGCTTCGTACCACTGCTGGCCAAGTCTGTTGGCTTGTCGGTCCCGATGCTGTCGTGTGCAGAGAAAGTATTTCGCAATATCGCAAAGCACAGATTGTAAGTAGAAATTTCAAATGGAAAACTACCGAGTCGGGCCAACTTTTGACGACCCTGCTTGATGTCTTGTGTCTTGATCAAGTTTTTACTAGGCGCACCGCTTCTAGTGATACCGCAACAAGATTTGCTTTCTCCACGAGAAGCAGCTCCCATTTCACAAGCCTCCAACAGGCCCCAGAATGAAGTAGACATTAGGTAGTCGATGATTGGCACAGAGAGTAATAACAGAAGTGATGAAACGATTACAAACACCCCAGGAGGTAATATAGCCGTCGACCTTGAAGCCTTATATACCCCTCCGGAACCAGCGCTATGTCTGTATATCAGACACATAGCGCATACTTGCCTTGTGCCATCGAATAGCATATCAAATCAACATTCCGTCGAGAAGCAGGCTACTGACTGTTTCTGGAATTATTACACAGCCGGAAGCATATTCTCGTGGTCATAGCATCAGGAATCTCCACGATCAATCAATCGTGGTTTTGGTAATCAGGCACTAGAGTGGAAATTCAATTAGCACCAGCACGATGGTCATACAGAGGGAATGGCTCGCGGAAGATATAACCCTGCTTCCGGGGCCGTAGTCTTAGATCCTAGATTATGTCACATCTGGTACCCGGAGCACAGAAGTGGATCCTGGGAGCAGATTGATGCCTTTTCCAACAAATTTTCTTTTTCAGTCCCAAGATATGCCACAATTCTGGCTACCAGATCTATCTTCATCATCATCATCATTCTTGTGAGGTAGCATCAGTGAATTCTCATACATACTAACGCTCTAGAAAAAATGCTGAGAAGCAGTTCTCATTGTCTGCATCTGCCAATGCGGCATGTTTGCTCGAGAATACAGTCACAGGATACGAATCCAGGAGTCACGAAGTCTATACTGATCTAGGTCGATGATCTTGCTAGCATATATAAACAACTCCCAAGGCCTGTACATCACGTTCATCGACCTAAATTACAGGCCCTTTTATTTAATTCATGCCGTCCATCTTGACCAGCGTCATGCCACAGCCTTCATCTGATCATGGCTCCGTACTGGTTCAACAAAGACTACAATCCCAAACGCCTGATGCGCTCACGAGTTACCTCTGCAGGTGCACTACGGATATCAACAAGATGCATAGAAGACACACGCCCTTGATGCTTGCCGTTCAAGCGGGAGATCACAAAGCTGTCGATCTCCTATTAGAGTATGATGATCTTCAGGCTTCTATATGCAATGCTTATGGTCAGACTGCTCTATCGATGGCCATCACGCAGGGCAGTATCTCAATCGTACAGCAGCTGCTCCGCCGAGGAGATATTAAGTTCTACAGCCAAGATCCAAAAGTCCAGCAGCCACTCCTGGTGGCTCTAGAATACCAACAGCATGAGATTTTGAAAATGCTATTACGGGATCCTCGGGCCAAGATCAATAGGAAGAATCACCGCGGCCAAACAATCCTGCATCTGGCTGTGATCTACGGAGACCTTCGCGCCGTTGCAAGCCTTGCGAGAGAGGAGCTGATTGATGTCAATTGTCCCGATCATCAGGGGGAGACGCCCCTCACGCTGGCTGCGAAGCTCCATGCCTGCGATCAGCCCAACAACGTCAAGATTCACAAGTGTCTACTCACGCGGTCCAAAGTCAGGGTAGATCGAGATCAAGGGGTCATTCTATCCTTTCACATGCCGTGAATATATTCGATACCGAGCTGATCCAGTCTCTCGGCTTCTTTGATATATAACTTTATTCCCAACTATCAGGTTTCTATTGCATTCACAGGACATATCGTAAGCAGCATATGCCAAAAAAAACTCGCTGTTAATATTAATGCTATAAGGTGACGAATTTCTAGAGCTAGCTTGTAAGTCCGGTCAAGGTCGTCTGCCCCAGCCTGGAATGAAATTCCATGGCTCGTGGTCCACGATGTAACGTTAGCAGTGAGTCTTGCGCCACATGGTTGTTCTAGAAAGTGATCGACGCCTTTCCAGGGTACAATCTGGCATCTGATTGGCCAGGCACGGTGGGGTCTGTGAGTCATAATGGGCACCTCGGGATTCTCCGCATTAAAAGCAATGCCTTAGCAGGTGCCTAACCAACCAAGATTGTTGGAAACAGGAGCCCAGACGGGTCCGCAGTACAAGTTTGAATTGCAGGAGCAGGGCCCGCAGATCAGCCAAAGTCCTGCCGGGGTACTTACAAGGGTACTTGCAGAGGTACTCGTGAACCCTCAGGTTTGACCCTGCCACGAGCGTCGATCGCACAGAAATGAGCAAGAGAATATTTTGCTATGTCCGTAGTGATTGATTGACCACCTAATCGAGAATTTGCCAGTGGCCAAGGCAATCGTCCTGAGTAGGGTGCATAACTAAGATGAGGGGTGGAAAGTGGGACGGCGAGATCGAAATGATCGGCCGGTACCTTGAACCTTAAATAGCACGTGGGCTGCGATGCCGGTCCAAGAACGGCGCCGTTCCACACCGGAGACCAATTGGGCAATGACCACGATAATTTGGATTTGTAAGAGGCAGCATGTAGTCAGCGATAGAGAGCAGTGCTGTAAAACGTGGGAGAATACCGACTGAGAACCGACTGAGATGTCAGATCTCCTTACAATGTTCTGATCCTGATGGGAATCAATGAGGCGCTCGCCCGCTCCTTCCCCCTCTGATATAGCCATCTTCTGATCAGGCCGCATTCACAGCTCTTAGTCGGTCGTGAATTTTTTTTTAGCCACGTAAGGTCTTGATTTTGGCTAAGTTCGTAGCTTGGAATGCATAGGCAACGCTAGATACCCGCACGGCGCCTAGGGAGGATGCCTGAAATTTCTAACGTTTCTCTAATAAAGTCAGCTGGCCATATCATTGCCATCAAGAATCTTGAAACTCTTTTGCGACGCATCGCAGCAAGCATGTCGCACACAGATCGTCCTTGCGGAGCCGCTCTCCTTCACCCCCGGTCTCAAGGTCCAGTCATTTCGAGCATCCTGCTTGATACTACCCATTAAGATCTCACTTTCTGATGAAAACAAGGACAACGTGCGCTGCTGAGGCTCTATGATCAATTCACGACGATAACTGCAATGGTACTCAATACTATACATGGCCATTGCGTTTAGCCCTCTTTGGATGCTACATTATAATACATTTATCGCATCTTGCAATGCAACGCAGTTTCAATGCCACAGCGATCATATCCATGGTTTCTATTTCATCAAGTTTTGGTACCCAGTGACCAATGTAACCCACCGCAGGAATTGGTCAGTCTAGATGATCGGTCTAATGGAACCAAGGGCTGGTTCCCCCTGGCAACATAGAGCCAACCACGGATCCATGGGAGGTGCGTCTTCTAGCCAAAGATTCCCTGAAAACTTTTCCAATGCCCTCCAAAATCAGTGGCCATCCCAATGAATCTGCGCAGGCGGTTTCTATGAAGAGACGTAGCCGACTTGACATAAAAGGCGCGAGATTTCTAGCCTAGAAAAAACCAGGACTTCCCTCCTCACACTTCCGTGTGTCATAGTTTCCATCTCTTGTCTACAGGCTTGAGGGTCTCCATGGCCAAGTCTCCGCAGTAAAAGCTCTGCGTTATTAAACATGCTTCGCAGGATAGGTCTGCGTTATCAATATTCCTTGTAGGAGGGCGCTGCGAGAATAAGTCAACCCCGTAGGATAGGTCTGCGTCATTAATAAGCCTCGTAGGAGGGCGCTGCGAGAACAAGTTCACCCCGCAGGATAGGTCTGCGTTATCAATAAGCCTCGTAGGGGGGTGCTTCGAGAATAAGACTACCCCGCAGGATAGGTCTGCGTTATCAATAAGCCTCGTAGGGGGGCGCTGCGTTACTAAGTGAACTCCGTAGGGGGACGCTGTGATGATAATCGAGACCCGTAGGAGACCGCTGCGTTAATAAGTTCTCTGCAGGAGACCGCTGCATCACCAAGTTCTCCGTAGGGGACCGCTACGATACCAAGGTGCTCCGTAGTACTGACTCTGCGTCATTAAATTGTGCTCCGCAGGGAGAAGCTGCGAAACCAAGGAACTCTAGCAAAGCGCAGGCACCTCTACGTGGTGCTAGGGACCAGTATTCATTACTCACTCTGTAATTGAAGAAGCCAAGACCTGCACATATATTGATAGATACGTTGTGTATGCCTAGGCCACAGGCGAGGAGACTGATAGTAGGGCCGCGAGAGCGCATGGGTCCTGTTTGTACCCCAAGATACTATAGAGTACGAATAAATCATGAATCTTGCTATTACCGAATTCGCCATGCATAGTAGTATCATGTCCAGAACCTGATATCACAGGATATATACACACACGTATAAGCTTGTCTGTCGGCTCGGCCAACGACCACTAGAACGGCAAGAAAGCATTATTCTTGTCTGTCTCACAGCTTAGGAATATTGAGATGACCGTGGAGCTGGGGTTGATGGTGACAGCGTAAATGCGGTGGTCAATGCTCTATGGTGGCAACCAGCCTGCTTTGGTGAATAGTTGACCAGCGTTGGTAAACAATCCAGCCTATTTTCATAAACAGTTGACTAAGCGTGCGTAAATAGTTAAGCGGCTTTGGTAAATAGTTAAGCTTACTTTGATAAATAGTTGACTGAGCGTGCGTAAACAGTTGAGCCTGTTTTCATTAATAGTTGAATGGCCATTCGTGAATAGTTGACTAAGCGTCCATAAACAGTTGAATGGCCATTTATAAACAATTAACTAAGCGTCCGTAAACAGTTGACCTAGTGTTGGTGAACAGTCGAGCCTGCTTTGAACAATAGTGACCAGCTCTGAAAATAATTTGTGGATGGTAACAGTGTCAACGCGTCGATGAGTAGACTGTAAATACAGAGTGAGGACGCGTTAACAAACGAAAGGTGAGTCGCTTAATAGGCGGTGTGTCACCCCTCGCGCACATTTTCGTCCGATGCAGAGAAGACCCCACCTATATCACTGTATTTTTTTCTCATAGGCCAATAGCCGTTGTCAAGTCCTCATTGACTGGAAGTAGAGTCGTGGCATACGGCTGGTAATTACCAGGAAGAAAGCTAGATCATCATCATTAATTCGGAAGTCTCTACACTAAGAACCTAGTTGGAGATCAGCTTGAGCTTCTCGTTATATATATAGCCGCACGTCTCCCAATGAATACTGTAGTGGCCTCATAAAAACATGACCAATAAAGTCTATACCGGTCTCTTCTGAGTACGACTGTGATACATCATGAAACAAATCGGATTTAAGTTAATTCAAGGTCAATTACGTATGATACAAACATAAAGCTAATGCTTAGTAACTCCAACGGTCACGAAGGGAAAGTCCATATTACATCAATTACTGCGCATGAGCCTTAGATGGACAAAACTTGACACTGTACACGTACGTTGTGTATGTCTACATTGTAAGCTTCCCCTACCCTACACACTGACAAGGCTACCATATTACGAACATCGAACAGCATGATATACTGCAATTGTCTCACTGACAGCAGTCATCGGTCTACGGGAAGGATATATTATAGAGGTGACCAGGGTAACTACGCAGGCGGTAAAAAAAGCAGCGTGCAGGACGAAAGCAAAATGAGCCCTGCATCATCAGCCTGGAGTTTGTCCAGTATGATGAGCACTTTGGTCCCGCTTCTGACTTAGCACTCTTCTTGAAACTAAATAAAAGCATCTGGGAACACTACGAAAGAGCCTCACAGTCGCTCTTCGTCAGTCTACAGCTACGTGGGGCACGAAATGCGCCTAAGTAGGCACGTCAAGACCTTATAGGGATCATGCGTTGCGTTCAGCTACACAGCGACGCAAAGCTGCTTGTCTGATGAGATGTATGGCTGTGAAATTATATGCCCAAAGCTAAGAGGTGTATCAAATGAGGTAGCCGGAGAAGCGTCGTGTTATGGCGGCAACGTCGGCAATCAAGACAGTAGTATTCTCAATATCAGCAGAGCTTGCCGAGCTTCGAAAGGGGTCAAGCGAGCGAGCTAGAGAGGGCCTTGAGTAAGTCACCATTAAATCAATCGTAGCAATGGAGATATACGCGATGGCACAGATGTCACAGGGACTCGACAGGACGATGCAACGTAGAGAGATAACGAGCTTGCATCTCGCACCACACCATCCTGGCGCAACACTCACTCATGTACCTGAATGACAAGCAACTGAGCTAGGTACCAAGCACCAATGCGCAAGAGTTCTTTGTTCTGCCATTGGCAGTTGGACGTAGGGTTCCGAAAGGAATAAAGGAATGCGAATAAAGGCCTTATTCATATTCGCACTCCGCGAATATGAATATATGAATCTTTTATTCACGCGAATAAACGCATTATTCATATTCGCATTCATACTATTCATATAACGCATTTTATCCGGAATAATACTTTGTCCGGTACGGTGGTTATCGTATTACCGAAATACGCTTAGAGGTCGATTTCATATTGCCATCACTTCATCGGCGATGCTGGACAGCGGCATATTACTTGCAGGCATATGTTGAAATGTGAACCCGCCTGTATAGGCTTTTTAGAAGCCTGCTATTCCGTAGGCAAGTAACTCAAGCTGTTTTCCCTACTAGCGAGTGCTGACATTGGAAACGTGAACACCGGCCAAAGAGATCCTTAGAGTTTATATATATCTACATACCCAGCTTTATTTCATCTTGGGTCAAATTATTGAATAGACCTTCTCGGCCCCGCTATATACCTTCAATCCATTGTAAGCTCTGTCTATACAATGAACTCGATAAATGACACGTAAAAACGCGTTTGCCGCACGACGCCGAGCTCTTGGTAGCCCTAACTACATTTTGTTTACATTCAAACCAATCAAGATCGCGTCGCTGGAAGCTGAGAAGAGACCTATCAATTTTCCACATCAAGAAGGGAATAAAAAGCGCGAGCTTGATTGAGTTCGTCTGGATCATCCTCAAATCCCTTGCCAGCCGGCTCTTTATTGTTTGTTCTACCGGAGGACAGCCAATCCAGGTAGCTCAAGGTATGTTATACATTACTCCTGATACCTCCCTGAGATAGTGACCCCAAGAAACAGTAGCATGGCTTCGATAATTCATCCGATCTTGCGGAGGACTCGCGGCCTTCCACGCCGGGACTATAATGCTCTACACAATGGCCTCGTTTCCTCGTCTTCGGAGCAATCCGAGGAATCGATCGGTGAAATAGAAAGTCCTTTCTCTCCCGAGCCCTCCCTACCTGTGCACACCGACGCAACGCCTCAGTCAAAACGGTCTTACTCTTTAGTGAGCTCTTCACCCTCCCCACTTGATCCCGCATTTTTGGAGAGTAGCGGAGATACGGCGAGTCCGCTCCCGTCAAAAAGACGAAAGACCAAGTCGTATTCCAGTTGGGCCGTCGAGCACTTTTGGACCACAGATCTCGATAGCACTTGGTGTCGGCGGGATGGCCCGCCAAAGAAAGATCGACTGCTGGTGTGCAAGCACTGCAACTGGTCCTCCAGGGATTCGGCGCGCTATGGTTCCACATCAAATTTGGTGGTGCACCTCCAAACCAAGCATCATATCAAGTCTGGGGCCGGCTCCATTTTCTTACCCGCGGCCGAAGGAAACATCGACCAATTCTTGGAGACGCCAAGAAGGAAGGCTGGCGTTGAAGAGATGCTAATTCGATGGGTCATTCAAACAAGGCAGCCCTTTACAATAGTGGAGCACCCGGCGTTCAAGGCACTTATTGAAGCAACGGGGGCTTCTTTGCCCATCAAGACCGCTGATACTCTGATCAACCGAATTAAGGAGGAATTTCACTCACATAGGGCTTACGTGAAAGACGAATTGAAGAGGAGCAGCCGGACACTTGCATTGTCTCTTGACGTGTGGACCTCGGAAAATCAGATTCCAATCATGGGTATCATCGGTCACTGGATATCCCCCGAATTTGAAAAGCGAGACGAACTCCTTGAGTTCACCGAAATTAACGGACCGCATTCTGGAGAGAACCTAGCGGAGGTGGTCCTAAAGATGCTCGACGAACTAGACATCGCGCCCAAGCTCCTGACTATCACCGGGGACAATGCAGGCAATAATGGAACACTCTGTGATAGCCTGCATGACCAGCTCCTTAAGAACTATGACAATGATGATGACCGCTTTCGCATCAGACCTCTCATGCGGTTTCGTGGACGGCAGAGCTTTATTCCATGCCTTGCCCACATCCTCAACCTGATTTGCAAAGATGTGTTGGCCTCTTTAAAGGCTGGCTCGGCTCGGGAAGCAAAGGCGATACTAGACGACATGGCGATCCATACTAGTCCAGCGTTCAAGTCCCTTCATAGCACAAAAGGAGCAATCATGAAAATCAGGCTTCTGACACTATGGATTGCTCGAAGCCCACAACGCCGCCAAAATTGGAAAGAAATATCCCCGAGCAAACAAGTCAGTTATGATGTTGACACCCGATGGAATTCAACGTATATCATGATTCAAGATGCCCTACGGCTGCAAACTGAGCTGGGGCAATTCGTGCGAATACATCCAGAGGTTCAGGCCCTCCAGCTTACCGATGGCGACTGGTCGACACTTCAGCAAGTAGCGAAGATTCTCAAGCCGTTCTGGGACCATACAAACTCTGTTTCAAAGACATGCCCGACGATTGTGGAAAGTCTTCCGATTTACTGGAGCTTGGACGATCTGTTAAATGACGTTCAAAACGCGGAGGGGGATTTTGAAGACGTGAGCAATGAAATTCGCAATGCGGTGGAGAGAGGCATTCAGAAGATGAACAAGTTCGCTAGAAAAATGGACGACAACCTTCTTTACTATGTGGCTTCCGTGTTAGATCCACGCATCAAGTCATCTTTGATTGTGTCTCAAATGAGCGAGCAAGATTCGGCCCTTATCGTTTCTCAAGTGCGGGAATTTTTAAAGAAAGAATACCCTCCAGAGCCATTCGTCTCCCGTGAAGCTAACCATACACGTCCACCGGGGATGTCGGAAACTATGTGGAGAACTCTGTGCAAAGTCCAACCATCCAAAGAGGCTTCTTTGTCGGATGTTGATAAGTATTTGGATTCTCCGCCGGTCAACTGGTCCCACCATATGATTGGTGATGCGGACGCAGAATGGGTCCTAAAGTGGTGGAAGGCGAACGCGTTTAATTTTCCACTCATGGCAAAAGCCGCTCGCGATTATTTGTCTATCCCTTCGGCAGAGGTTGGGGTTGAACGCGAGTTCAGCAATGCTCGAAATATCTTCGGCCTCCGAAGACATCGCCTGAACGCGGAGACTATGCGATGGTTGATGTTGTTGAGAGAAAAGTCTTAGAATCAAATTTCATCTTTGTTATGTATGCATGTCATTTTCAATGCTTCGGAATGAAGATTAGCCTGTAATTCACCATGGAATAGAGTGTACGCGTTGGTGATGTACAGTACTCGAACGTAATGAAACGAAAGGTAAGGTAAGGTATTTTACTATATGTATAAATATGAATTATTCATATATTCATGAATATTGCGAATATGAATAAGCTCTTTATTCATATTCATATTATTCAATTCATATTATTCATATTCACAAAAATTCGTGAATATTCATGAATAATCATATTCCTTTCGGAACCCTAAGTGGAGCTTTTGTGCAGCAACCTATCACCCGATTTACATCAACAAACGACGCACATCGGCAATTATTGCGCTATTTTCAATAATTACACTAACAGATATCAAAGTTCTCCACGGAGCGGATTATTGCGCTCCTTAGTGAGATGAAAATTCTGATTTGAACAAAGACTTAGATTAACCGGGAAGAGCTAGAGTAAGGAGCTATAAAATACCGGAGTGTATAATGCGGAGCCGCTTAACTTATCGCTTAATGTTTTAATGTGCGACGCCCTAGGGGGCAGTTGAGTCCGCCTCTTCCCTCTAGATAGGTAACACTTGAGTTTTTAGTATTAAGTTGGCCCCATTCCTGCCCCAAATACGCAGGATCCATCTATGCCTAGGTACGGACTATGACCGAGAAGCGGAGAAGGGCTGTGACCGGAGCTCCTTTTCGGTATTGAGGTATTTTCCTAGCCCCTAGCCCCACTCGTAGTCCCTGGGCATGAGTGGAGCTTTTGTGCAGCAACTAATCCATGTAATGACAAGGACCTCGGGAAGTCATGGGACTGAGTCAGCACAAAGAGGTGTAAGCATTTGATGCCTGAGGCACCAGTCAGCTCGCGTCACGAGGATAAATATCTAGGCGCATTTCCTCGTTGGGTTCCGTGCCAGTGTCAAACAGCGGGGACTCCCTGGTATGCTGGCTTAGATTTCATATCATTCAATCATTTGCTGAAAATCACTTCTGACAAAGTTGGAGGCAGAACAGCGATTACAACCTAACACTCTATTTCGCCTTCTCGATCGCTGCCATTACTCCTTGTCTCAAGCGATCAAAGTTGAGACGGATGCGACCCTGACCACTCAGGGTGATGCGACCAACCCAGTGAATCGACCTTTCCACATGTGCAGACCCAGCTGTGCAATTGTCCGAAAAGCCCCCAAAAAAATGGCCCTCACAAATCTGCCAATCGAACTTTTGAACAAAATCTGCAGCTATTTGGAACAATCCGAATGGGCCGCACTCAGATTATCTTCTCGCTCGCTTTACGCAAAGTCCCTGGATGCATATGCAGATCGCTACTTCAAAAGCATTTGCTTCATTGCCACTGCTGAAGGCATTCGAGAACTAGAGGAGCTGGCAAAGAACGATACCTTTTCAACATGTGTTCGGCAGTTATGGATGATTCCGACCGTCTTTGAAGGTCGACACGATCTGGAACTTGAAAGATTTAAGTTTGAAGGTTCTGGGTATTCAAAGCGATCCAATCCCCTTGATCGGTATGAGGATGAGCTGCGAGCTTGTTATGCAATATATCAAACCATCAAAGCCGATAACCAAGCTCTTCTTGAGTCAAGCACCTTTAGCGCTAGGCTTCACGCATGCTTCAATTCCTTCAGAAACTTAGATTCCGTTGGACTAAAGCATTACGCGACAAGCTATTTACTCGATCCAAGGCAAACGGAATTTCGATGCCTGGGATTGCGAAATCTAAGAGGTCAAGTTGACTATGTGTTTAAGCCCTCCAACTTAAATCGTCTCCAATGGCACTTTCCAGCGAATATCAACTCACTGGCCTTATCGAGGATGTTGCAAGGTTTTACTGAATCCAACCAAAAAATCAGAGCCTTAAACACATGTGGTGCTAATTTCTGCGGCTCAACTTCGCCTTATCATTTTCTCACACAAGAGCATTATACTTCTCTCCTTCAAAAGCTTAAAAACCTGGAACATCTTCATATGTGCATCTGCTACAACGAGAAAGAGCTGAGTCACACTTCAACTTCAACTTTACCTTCAACCTCAACCTCAACAACGTATATTGATCTTCTGATTTGCGTTGCACCCAGACTTGAAAGTCTCTATTTCTCCCAATGGGATCGGCTTAAACGCGATATAAGTGATTCTTATTTTTTGGGACTCGCTCAACACATCAATTTTACCCGACTGAAAGAGCTTCACCTTCACTGGATTCAGATCGGACCTGAGTCTTTCAAATTATTCATGAGCACCGCCAAGGAGACTCTGAAGACTCTCACACTCGATTTGGTATATTTGAAAGAACACCTGTCAATAAATCCCGAGTCTACTGGTTGGAAGCACATTTGGGAATTTCTTGGAGAAGAGCTATCACTACAAAGCTTTTCCATGGCAAACATTGGCTATGTCGGACATAAGGTGATGATGCAAGGGCCCGGAGACTCGGTCGAACCGACAAGCTCCGTTCGATTTAGTGCAGAAATGAGCAGCATTCCCTTCACTAAATGGATCAGGCAGCTCAAGCCGATTTCAACTGAACCGGACTTAAGAGTAAGAAGATATCCAGGTTTGTATCCCCCTAAGCCCCAGACGTCGTGGAAATCATTTTCTAATAAACAACTGCTAGACATGTTCATGGGGTTGCAGCGCCAGTTTCCCCGTTATGACTCCTGTGTGAGGCGGTCCGTGAGGCGGCCCTAATCTCTTAGATCGTTACCCTAGAGCGCTATGCCCAGATTAATCTTCCATTTACCATAGGTGTATCGACGTATTTAGGTAGCTTTCACAAAAAAGATCCCGATGATTGCATCAACGTGAAGGTGGGGCTGGGACTGAACATCAATCACAGTCGGGAAATATTAAAAGGTCATTGCCACGCCAGTGAAGAATATCAGATCGATTACACTGGCAGCTCATGGTTAGATGAATAAATCACATAATTGCGTATTATGGGAATGCATAGCGAAAGTCTCTGCTAGACATCACTAGAGAAAGCACCCTTTTCAAGTTGAAGCACATGAGTGTTCTGGCCAGCCCAGCCCAGAAACAACGAATGGAAATACTCACTCGAACCTTCCAAGCGCTTCAACCTAATTCTAATGCGGCTATTAGAACCTGTAAGAATGCTTAAGACAAATGAGAAAATCTGAATTTGGAGAAACTTATATAATGATGGAATTGATGGCTCGCTGCTCTCAATGGCCTCTAGATGTCTTGATACATGATACTACTAGCCAAACAAATCATCATTGAGACATGTACTAGTTCACTATGTAATGCCCCCACACTGGCAAACTCAAATTGATTTGATCTGACGAATATCATGGTACTACATAGTATCTACCTAGGTACTACCACCACTAGAAGTAGTTCCATTTCGTCCTGAAGGGATACATGTAGTAGCAGCTTGAGAGAAACTCGTCCAAGATATGATCACCGTACAATCTAAGCAGACTTGGTTCTGTATTTCCCGTCAAAGCAACCAGACAAATGGCAAGGATGATAATAAACCCATCGCGTGAATCAAAACATCAGGTCTGCCGGATTCATGCAACTTCCTGTCGACCAGTCGCATTGAGTTATGTATGCACCTAGTTAGAGAAGATTGTATTAGTAAGCTAAACAGCGATTTCAAGAGAGCTCGGCAATTCAGATGCCACTCACCCACGGCCCAATACGTATAGGTGTCTGAATAGAGAAGTTAATTACGTTGCGTGGATTTTTACTGTAGAGAACCTTACCAGCATTCTTGAAGGACCTGAGCTTGGAGGCATCACTCTCACTGTTACCTTGCTTGGCAAGCTCAACGATCTTGTCAAAGCCATAAGCCGTTGTCCCATCATCTAAAGCCTCATCATCTATATCCATGCGATAACAAATTAGTACGATCCTCCAGCTCATTCGACTTGAACATTTATCTGCACTCACTTGTCTGAGCAGTTCCCCAGAAAGAGTTTGAATGAGTCAGTTCGTGCACGACAGTAGCATCCAATGTGCTTTTTACAATATCATCCATGTCTTCATATTCCAAATCCGAAAGCGATTTCGCCTTTTGTACAGGAATAGGTGTAGCTTCCTCGAACTTATCCCACCCAAGGGGGCAAATGGTCATGTAGTCGTGGCCATCATTTCCGGCCATCATGAATGCAAGACTCGTTGATTTGCCTTTATCGTTTTGACAAATGTTATTCTGCGAAGTACCCCCTCTTTTAAAGACGTAAGTCCTTGCACCATCGTCAAGCATCCAGCCCTCTAAAAATTTTCAAAAGTCAGAGTTCAGTTTGGTTAGGGTGAGAACGGCACCCCGGCCGATACCCCTGCAGCCGGCCAGGCCGCCGTTTGTATTCAATCCAGAGAGAACAAGACTTACCTTGTTCAACACCATTTTCATCGTCATAATCACCGAGCTCCCAGGCAGATGTCCCGCAGATGATACGGATGTTAAAAGAATCCTTGTCCAGGCCTTCAACGTATTTGTTTGCAAAGTCTTTGCAGAAACATCAGTTTATAAATTCTTACTCCTTGTCAATTCAGCCACATCATAACTCACCCTCCAATTGCAAAATCCGCTCTTCGGCTCTGTCCATGCCAGTACTGTCGGTTTCCTTGAAAGTACCATACATGGCCATGTAAAAGTCGACCTGTGACTTCTCCTTTGCTGTAAGGTCTTTTCTCTGGTCCATCTTATTCCAAGCCGATGCAATTGTTTCGATAGTATCAACAGCACCCCTGTTCTACTTATAATGTTATTATAATCAAGTATCTGTTTTCACATTCGCCTTCCCATGAAGACAACTTACAATTTCCAAGATATCATCCAAGATATCGGCAAACATTGCCTTGGTAGCGTCACTGACACTCACTGTTTCGGTGTCTCTTTTAGTGGCAGCAGACGTGATCTCGGATTCGACGGTTGAGGTTCCACAGGTAGCCGTATGCAGTAGGAATGACTTCCAGCCAGTGACGGCTACCCATCCACTATCGCCAGCATCGTCTCTTTTTCCTGCAACAGAGCTTCTGTTACGTTCAATGACAAGGTCTGGCACTATGATATCACCCTGTGCAAACTGCAGCACATCTGCAAGAAGCAAAATTTGCCCTAAGGTGACCAGCATGGTCGTGCCAGATCGACCGAAAATCATCTTGACGGTGAAAGGCGAGTGAAAAAGGAAAAGAAAATATGGAATGAGTGGAACAAATTGATCTGTAAAGCCCTAGGAAGGGGATCTTATCTGTCAAAATATATTTGAAATGCGGTGTTTTAAAGTGCACTAGGGGTAGGGCTCTATTCAATTTTAGTTTGGCATAGACTTAGTGCTCCTATTGTCAATTAAATTACAAGGGCAAGGCATGCGAATTCACTAGTCTCAAATTCACGGTCCCGCAAGCGGAGCTCACTAGAAATCGAAATTGCGCTTCAAATTTGCGCCTCTGCGATTGAGTACTCGGAATTCACTGAATTTTGTGCCTTTTCAGCGAGCTAAACACTTCTTATGGCTATTGATCGGCATTATGGCCTTGGAAGACCCTGGAGCTCCGTGCCGTATTTATTCCAGGAACCTTTCGGCAACGACCAATTCACACATAAGCGAAGTTCCGATGTTGAGTTTCACCACCCTAAGTTCACCGTACGGGCGAATGAGGAAGAAGACTGACCAAATTTACACGGGCGAAAGTATGCAACTCTTTGATGGTGGGGTTTATCTTGGGGAATACTCCGCTTTATAACCCTGTCCGTCACCTGGCCATATTTCGCTATTCTTCCGACATTTATGGTCACATCAATTTACCGTTTAGAGAAAGCTGAGTTTCAATCCAAAACAAGTCTATCCTAGATCCTACTCGATACTTTTCATAGGCAAAGTTAGCTAGCTGACTCGATTCGCTTTACTGCATCTTCGGTAGACTTAGATAAATGGGTAATTTTTAGTGCCGTGGCTAGATTTTGAGAATTTGCCAAGTCTTGCCAAGACTGTCCTTTTAGGCAATTCTCTAACCTAAATAGGTAATTCCATGGGAAATAGGACTAGATTTCAAAAATTACCCAGGGGCATGGGACTGGAATTTTGCATTACCCATGGGTAATGTCAACGTCTACTCTCCGGTATATGAACTAATATGCACTTGGGCACATAGCCACTGAAAATAGTATCGACTTGATCTAACGCGCCATATATGTCAAGCCTATGAAGATAAACAGGTTGTGTAGACCATATCCGCCCTGCCAGCGCATTGACACTAATTTACAAATGTCTTCCCGAGTCTGCCGTTCAATTGAGCCCATGTATCCATTAGTGCTAGGGCTATGCAGATAATTACGCCAGCAGCGCCTTGGCTCCATAATAGATCCTTCGTTCCTGACTTATTGCCAGTTAGTCCCATCGGTTCCGCGGGTTTGGCTAGCGTTGTTAATTTCATGTATCCGTGGAAGAGCCGGACACCTCCGAGCCATATAATCTCAATAGCTTATATTCATGCTGTTTAATTATTCTGTCCTTGGCATTGTCTTACACATAATGTACAAAATCAGTCCCCACATATAAGGGCGTCGCACTTATAAGGCTACGCTCCTATTCGGTAATATTTAACGGTTCCACTACTAGGGGTTCACATGACCACGGAGGTATCCGTATCTAAAGTAACTACTACGCTATAATCTAAACACCCAAACGATCTCCACTTAGTGTGATCGCTTCCTAGGGTTTCCGTAATGTACCAAGCTTTGGTATAAGCTAGTAACGAGAATCTCGCCTTACTAGTCACAAACAATTTCCAAGCGATCTAGCTGAAGCCATCCTTTTAATAATACCACGTGAAGTGCTCCGGCTAAGACATTAACGCCAAACGCCCCTTCTAACACTTTCTATGGACACTTTCCAATATTCGCAGTTCCTTGGTGAAGCTTATATTTACGGTAAACGGTGATCTATCATAATGATTTACGGATTAATCCAAATTCTGGGGGGGAATGTAGTTATACAATGTTAATTTCGAATAGTATACCAAGACCTAATACAACTTTTGAAATTAAACGAAGTCACTTCGCATTTCCGCGAAGTGGAGTTCGGCATATTTAGCTCGGATTCTTCCTTAGTGATGGGTTTGGACAATTCTCGCTAGAGATGAACCCCACTTTGGAATAGAGTACATCACCCGAAAGGATCCGGTTCTATGTAGGCATAGGCGGCCGAATACTTGAAATAGCGGCTCTAAGCGGAAACGGGTTCAAAAGGGTCCATGTTGCACTGCCTAATGGACCCCACTGGACCCCACTGGACCCTAGCCCCGCCAGCAGCCTGAGAGCAAGACTACATGCCAAGAAGAAAGATATGATATCCGTGCCTTGAAGCTTGTGTGAAGGTGGGTCTTTTCCCTCTAGTATGCATGTGTATGGATTAGTTTTTACTAGAGCATTTCATGGACCATTTTGTTGAAAGTGGCCTAGGAGGTGGGAGAAATGGCTGATTCAAGACTGCGACCTCGTTCGGAGGTATGTGGCTTTCCGATGGATTGGAAGCGGGATATGTATAGTAGTATTTGTGAAAAGGGAACGAAGTGGGACTATTTGTTATTGATTGGAAGAAGACGCATTCTGTAGAGTGCAATCATTGACCCTGTGGCACTAGTGGATGAAAACTTGATTGTGTGCTGAAGTTTTCCCGAACTGCATCTTTGTCCTGCTCCATTTCTGCGGCAAACTATGATGTCTAATATTCGCCTCGCTTATTTTCTCCTTGCTGCTACTGCAATTACTGATGTTGCTGCAAGTAATATTATTGCGAGTGGCGGTGGATTAGATGGACAAATCGCGCTACGGCAACTGGAACGACAGATGCGGATTTGACCATAGAATGTGACTACTTTATGATGTTGCATCGGGAGACAATTGTGAATTTGTGGAAAATTATTTCGGCATCACTGAGACATATTTTGAGGGATCTTTTCATGCTTTTCCTATACAATACCAATGAAGGGTCCGCCACGAATCTATTTTTAGTCTCATATACTAGCTCAAAACACCTGAAAGACTAGAGAGGCAATTCTCCGATCCCTTCTGCCGGAAAAATGCTAAGTCTGACTTAGTATAAGTATGCACGACCCACTTCCCACGGGTTTACTCGGAAGTTGTGCTCCGGGTCTCCAGCTGTGGATACGGCAATAGCAGCCAGTCCCAAAGTCGTAGCTAGCCCTGGTCTTCGAAGCGACTTACGGAGACATGGAGACATGGAGACATGGGAGAAACGAGAAAATTTCGAAAGTACATTTGACTCTTTCCATTGATCTCCGCTAAACTGTGCACTCACCATTGAACCAATATGATGTAAATATTGTCTTCCAAGTCCCTAAGTCTTTTATGTTCTTGCAATCTTCCACACACACTGTTCTACCATCTTACCTCCATGGCTTCTATGCGTTCGATTCTGCTTGTGATTGCCCTGGCTCTCCAAGGCAGTGAGGCCTTGCCTGGCTGTCAAGGCTCTGTTCACAATGGGACAATCGCTTATTTCAACAGCGCTCCCATGACCTTTAGCTACGAGCTTGCAGCAGCCTTGGATTGCCAGAACTGGTGTGAGAAAGTACCAGCATGCCAAGCGTGGGTCTATATTGACCAGTCAAATCAATGTGACCTTCATCGCACGACGGCGTTGAGCGTCTCGGATAACGCGGGGTTCATCTTTGGCGGGTGCAAGCCTAGCGCTGTCGACGAATCCCGACTAGCTCCTACTCCTAGCCCCTCGTTGCACTCCGCTGTGATCAGTACTCCGGCAGCCTCAGGAACTGCTTCTTTGGTTCGTTCTCGCCCTTTTCAAGCATGTTGCCCTGGATTTGTGGCTAACGAAAGTTCTGTTCTCGAAGGCTCATGCTAGGCGCGGAATCTTCCGACATAAGCACAAACGTCACCACTGAAATCTATAGTTTGGAGGGAATATCTTGGAAGTATATCCTTTGTTTGGGTGCTTTAGGCCTTTGCTCGAAACTTTGCCTGGGTGTCCGCAAGATGTTGGGTTGTTCATGTAAGGAATAGTCATCATTTCTTGTATTGAATAACAGGTGTCCGAGAGAAGGAAAGAGTTTCGGTACCAAGGTACACCGTCGATGCGAAGAGGCGGGAGCGATAATATCAATGGACTTTAATAAGGTATCGGCAATAGCTAGCGCTCTTTCGCCGGTTTCTTGTGTGATTGTGTCGAGACATGGAGTGGTAACTTACCATAAAGATATGGGTTATACTGAGTAGCCTACTATCATTTGTGTTTTGTATAGTAAAATAGTATCCTTGGCGTTACAGGGGTCGTCACACTGTGTATCTAAGCCACTTATGGGCAACCTGCCCCATCGAGATTCCTTCTCTCTTCAGTCAATCAACCTTTGCATCCAAGATTGGTTCCGCTTGCGCTCCTTCTCGATCTCATCTGCCTGTTTCGATTACTAGCCTATACTGACTCGGCTTGCTCCCACAGATTGACTTATTTTTTGTGTAGCTAGCGCAGAGCACATTTTTCCGTTGGAGTACGCAGTGTCATATCCGGAGTTGCGGCGATGGCGTGTTTGGAACTGTCTACTGAGCTAAGAATTACTGTATGTGGGGCGTTATCTCTTGGGCGGCTTGGGATGCTAAACAGACGCTTCCAATTTAGTATCCATCTGTCTAATTAATACCGCTAGTGCAGTGGGCCAACGCAATATTTTTGAGTACACCTAATAACGAGTAAGGCACGAGCTCACCGGTCATCACCGAAATTCGCCTCTAAAGTTCGAAAATGGAATCCACCTTCCTTAAAACCAGGGAATTGCGGAAAGAATAAAACTCTTACCCAGCCGAGGCACACGCTAAGCAGGTATGAAAAGGAGCTCTACGTCTCTATTTTCAAACGAACAACAAACGGCATTGAGGCACTCGGAGCAAAACTCTTAGAGCCCAGTGTTCAACGTATCAACGCCAGCCATGCGATTGTTAGTGGCTTCGGTCACATTTCTCCTGCTCGCCTGCCGAGTGCAGGCAGCGGCTGTCTTTGCTCATTTCATGGTAATTCCTGACTCTTCGGCGAAGGTGACTTGAAATTGCTGACAGCACCACCAGGTGACGAACTCGGCCAACTATACCTCTAGTGACTGGGAAAATGACATGAAATTAGCGCAAGATGCGCATATTGATGCCTTTGCCTTGAATATGGCTTACAGTGACCCGACAAACATGAAAGCTCTCCCTGCTGCCTTTGCGGTGGCAGATTCTGTCGGCTTCAAACTTTTCTTCTCGTTTGATTATGCCGGCAATGGAGACTGGCCGAGGAACGATGTCATCGACTTAATCAACCAGTACAGCACTCATTCATCGTACTTCTTCTACAACGAAAAAGCCTTTGTTTCCACATTCGAGGGACCAGATCGAGCTAATGACTGGCCTTTGATCAAACTTGCTACCGACTGCTTCTTTATTCCGAGTTGGTCCTCCCTTGGAGCTGAGCCCGCCGTGCAGACAGGTGTCGTGGATGGTCTCTTTAGCTGGGCTGGCTGGCCTTGGGGCAATGAAGATATGAACACCTATATCGATGCATCCTACATCCAGTACCTGGCTGGGATGCCGTACATGATGCCAGTTTCACCTTGGTTTTTCACCAACTTGCCGGGCTACAAGAAAAACTGGATGTGGCGAGGCGACCATCTTTGGCATGACCGCTGGCAGGAGGTGCTTTATGTGCAGCCCGAGTTTGTTGAAATCATCTCATGGAACGATTATGGCGAGTCGCACTATATCGGACCCTTATATGACAAAGCTATGGAAGCATTTGAGATTGGCCAGGCCCCTTTTAACTACGTAACTGATATGGCTCACGATGGTTGGCGAGCTACTCTACCCTACTGGATCGATATGTATAAAAAGGGATCGGCAGAGGTGACTCAGGAGAGTATTATTGCCTGGTATCGACTGGCTCCTGCAGCGGCTTGCGGCAGTGGAGGCACCAGTGGCAACACTGCCTCCCAGTTGCAGATTGAATTCCCTCCGGCAGAAATGGCTCAAGATCGAATCTTCTTCTCCGCTGTTCTGGGTTCTTTCTCTAATGCCGTGGTCTCAATTGGAGGAGATGCCCAGACAGTAGGCTGGTCATTTGTTCCAGGCGATGATGTTGGTGTCTACCATGGTAGTGTCGCCTTTGGTGGTCGGACTGGACCAGTCACCGTGTCTTTGATGCGCGATAATGTTGTGATCGCCACGATTGAGGGCAAAGCCATCTCTGGAAGCTGCACGAATGGCATCCAGAACTGGAATGCCTGGGTAGGTAGTGCGACGACAGGGAGCGCAGTGTCGGCCAGAACAAGTATCCTGCTTTCCGAGCAAAAGTGTATAAACGGGACTGGCGCTTACAACTTCGCGGGTCTCTGTGAGTTCGCTTGCACATATGGCTACTGTCCCCTAGGAGCTTGCACCTGCACAGAAATGGGACTCGGCTATGAAAAGCCGAATTCGACCGGCGTGCTAGGATATCCGATCGCAGGAGAAGGTGCGAGCTACAGTGGACTTTGCAGCTTTGATTGCAATCTCGGATTCTGTCCTCCCTCGGCATGTGGTACCGCGGATGTCCCCCTCTCAACGCCCTCTGTCTCACCATTCTTACCTCCGGCATGCACCGCGGGAACTGGCACAGGCAATCTGGCTGGCCTCTGTGACTTCAGCTGTACTCATGGCTTCTGCCCGATGAACGCTTGCACGTGTACAGGGCAAGGCGCAGTGAATGTCATGAACCCCACGACCGACGTCACTGGTGAAGCTGCCCCCGGGCAAGACCCAGCCGTCTATGGTCCTCTGTGTGAATACACCTGTCAGCGCGGGTACTGTCCCGAAGGCGCCTGTGTATCGCATGCTGGTGGTAGTGACGGCACGGATGATCTTTATGTTGCCGCGTCTGTTGCCGATTCAAAATCGGGTTCTAACATTGTCACTGGTATTGCTCCGCTAAATATCATTGTCGCCCCCTCCACCCTGACTACCACGACTACATTCTTTATCGGATCCCTGGTGACTCCACTCGAGGTGGCCTGGACTACAACCAAGACTGTGACTATTTCTGGACAGCCTACCGTCACTACTACAGTGACTCGCACTGTGCAGACTACGACCTTTACTATACCTGATATCACGACCACCCACATTCCATGGTGGAATTGGAATATCACCGGAACCGACGTCACACAAGCTTCCACAACACTGTTTCCTAGTTTTGCACTAGGCCCAATCGTGTTCGGCGACAGTCCAAACCCCCAGGATATCCCAGGTGAAAGCTTTATCTCACATACCGTGACAGCCAACCGTACTTTGTATCCCTCCCCCCTGGCCTTGGTCCACTTTTTCTTTGTCTGTGGAGGTTCCGACCCCCACTATCAGTTTTACTCAAGGCGGTCCCCCAGGTCCTACCTGCACGTCTGGCTGTGGAACCAAGTGTACCTCCTTCTGTGAAACACCATGCTTGCTCAACTGCGACGATCCCAAGGCTATTGAAAGCTGGGAGGACCCAGCGGATCCTGATCCTCCTACTAGCCATTCCAAGTGCTCAGGCTCTGACTGTGATGACGATGGTGATTGCACTGGCCCATACTGTGTTAAGAAGGGCTGCACCGGCACCGACTGTGATACTGAAGACCATGTCTGCCTTGGCACCAACTGTGAGCAGACCGGTTGTCGTGGCAGTGGCTGTAACTCTAATGGCGTCTGTACGGACAGTACTACCTGTCAGACAGTCGGGTGTTATGGCAGTGACTGCAATGGATTTGGTCTCTGTTTGGGTCTAAACTGTATCTCTCTAGGCTGCATTGGCCTTGACTGCATTTCAAGCACAGGAGAGTGTACCGGCTATCACTGCAGCAAGGTCACTTGCTCAGGCCCGAACTGTAAAAATGGTGAATGCATAGGTGAAGGTTGCGCGTCCGAAGATGATGACTGCGAAGCTGTCGAGGCTGATGTTTGTACTGAAACCATCTACTCCTCTATAGTGACTCCTTCCTCAACCTACACCACTAAAACCTCCACCAGTTGCGAAACTATCACCGCCTGTGATGCTGAGGCTTCTACAACCACCACGACCATCTCAAGCGAATCTGCATACGTGATTGTGACTATAGCTCCTTACCCCGATTATACAGTCATGAATGATGCGGAAGCGACTAGTTTCGCTGAGTCTATGGAAGAGATGTTTGAATCGATTTGGTCGGATGACACCACCGGTACTGAGTCAGCCTCTTCTACAAGTACTTCCACCACTTCATCGTCGACGCGCAGTACAACAAAGACGAGCAGTACAACAAGCTCAAGAACTACTAGTACTAGTAGCGCTGCCAGCTCTACCGATCCCACCGCGGTCGACGTCACCCCGACAGAGTTCAAGGACGACAACGATTTTGACGTTGAATACGACATGAATCTATATACCACTTCCAACTGCGGAGAGTGGTATAACGACGACGGAATATCAGCAGCAAATATCTGTTACCATTTCGCAAGCAAGGTTGCTTCTTTCTATCCTGTTTTTGACGATACTAAACTCTGGATTGGAGCATTTGTCGGAGACTCTTGCCCCTCGACCGGGTCTTCACAGGATGGATTTATAACGCTCAAGTCGCGCACATGTTACAACATCAATACGAGTGGTGAAAGTTCGGAAGGTTTAGGCATGACAGGTTATAAAGCTATTGATGCTTAATCTTTTCGAGCTTATATGAACACACTCTCGCGATATGCTTGCCGTTTGGCCTTAGTTTAAATGTCCAGAAAACATTCATTAATCTCATTCTATTTTTTTCTGAGTGGTATAGATCTAGGTTTCGCTTCCCTGATGACTATTCTATCACTCTCGTTAATTGGCTATTAAAAAACTAAATTCTTGTCAGGATGCTAGAAGGGGTCTTAAAAAGCGATGAATTAAAGAATAGAATAATAGAAGAGGATTAGAATAATGACCTTAATAGATTCCTTAACCATAGATAAAACTAGATGACGGTAAATAGACGGCTAGAAATGGCCGCTTTTAAGGCCGCTTTTGGCCACCTATCTAGACCTGGATAAAACCCGCGGGAGCTACTAAATTCTTGTCCCGTGCCCGTGGGTCCTTACTAATAACGCTATGATGCACTAACTTTGAGAAGGATTTATAAGGGCTACAAGAGGGCTATGAAAATTCTAAAAATAGCTTTATGTTGCCTAGATCATGGTGATTCTACTAATATCAAAATCGAAACTAGAAGGACTATCTAAGCGTGCTCGTTTATGACCAAAATACCCTTATAGAGTCCTGGCTCGCGCCGATATTAGTGCCTATCTTAAGAAGGGTACTAATAAAGTGGAAATTGTTGTCGCAACCACTCTCATTAATGTCGTCTCACCATTTTGGAGCTAGTAGAGAACGAGTGGTGGTGCGCTAACTTTCTTCGGGAATGGGGTTTTAGTGTTACGGACCTACAGGGGGCCGCACCACCCGCGGGGCACTTATACCCAATCATCCTGGAGGAACGGGACGACGTGCAGGTCACGTGCAAGGCATGGTTCGAAGAACCATAGCCTCTTCACAACAGGACGCACGATACGTGATAACCGAAGGTCATTACGATTCGGTGCCATCCTGGGAAATGGACGATCGCACGATAAGCAAGATCGCAGGATAAGGAGTATCCTGCGATACGCCATGGTTATCGGCAACAGGAAGGATCCTACGATGGGTTCCGCCCTACGATCAAAGATACCCTACGATAAGCCACGGTTTGGAACCAAAAGGGGGATTCTTAGGACACGAGGTGTCCTAGGATCAACAACACCCTACGATGGACCATGGTTACTAACAACCATGAATATCCTACGATACGAAGGATCCTGCGGAGCTTAAGATCCCAGGAAAACGAGGATCCTAGGAAAGGATCACGTGCCGACTCATCGGGCGATGAGTGCAGCTCATCAAGCGATGAGACCGGAACAGATCGAGCGATGAGTCCCGGACTCATCAAGCGATGCGACGGATTAGATATATAAAGACGGTCATTACCACAGATGTATTTAGTTCTTCGCGTTCAATTATACATTGTTACTTGGAACCTACAGTTCTAGCTTCACACTTGTTTCGTATTTAAGACAACCCACCCTACTAGGAGAGGTATACTTAGTCTCTTGTCACTTGACACAGATCCTAAGCATAGCTTGACTAGGCGCACTACCTGGCGCAGACCAACAAGAGTCTAATCTATAGACCCGAGCCCGTGTAAGGCCTCCAGGCAACGGTACGGTTGCGATTGAGACTTGAGGACGAGCCTCGACGTACGTATAACGGATCATACGAGCGATACTCACTGTGACCAGTTAGCACCGCGTAACATTTAGCTCTGGCACCGATCCAGGATTACGGTTTGATTTACCCAGTAGTAGTTAAGCCTTATAAGACTATTATTTATAGAAAGTAAGGGGTTAAGATTAATATCGAGATTAGTATAACTTATACTCTCTTTATTAACTTCGGGATTCGCCTATAGGGCGGGGTGTTACGACACGTCTATAGAAGAGCTATATAAGAGGTAGAGAACAGGCGTATAAGCGTATAAGAACACTTCTATATACTACTACTAGCTAGAGATACTAGAGAAAGGTTATTCTAATATATTCAGGTAACTAATTAGATAAGCCGCACAATAGAAGTAGGCTCACGGGAGAGATCTAGGGGAGCTCTCTAGTGATTATATTATTAATATAATAATAGCACTATATATACTATAGTTTGTGTCATCACTTATATCTAATCTAATTATATAAGGCCTATGCCTTAATATTATAAATTTATAATCACTCCTTACTAAGGATACGACTAGTAATATAAAGAACCCGCGAAGAACGATATATTATATAACACTAGACCTGGACAAAACCCGCGGGATTCCCACCATGGGACTGACCGTGGCACGGGTATTTTCATAAAAACCAGTACCACGGGAGTGGGGCGTGGTGGTCAAAAATGGTTTATCCCGTCCCATGGGCGGGACTAGGGGGGTATGTCCCGCCCGCGATGGGACACGGGTATTCCCATGGGTATTGTAAACAGTGCAAACTTGCCCTTTTTAGACATGCATTAATTATCCAATTTTTTCTGTATTTTCAGTAGTAATCTATATACGCACGTGACTATATAACTCCACCAGAACCACTAAATTCCACTAGAACCACCCTTTTTTTAAGGTTCTAAGTTCGATTCTAGCTCTATATTACATACCAAAACAGCTTAAATTACCGATATTTCAGCATTCTTAGTCAGCAGATTATGCAGGGACTTTATGTAGATATGGGTAATTTTGCGACTCCCATGGGAAACCCGTGGGTATACCCAGGACGGGAAATGGGTAAAAAAAAATCCCATGGGAGTGGGGCGTGGTGGTCAAAACCATATTATCCCGGCCCGTATGACTAAGGACCCGCGGGCACGGGACAAGAATTTAGTAGCTCCCGCGGGTTTTGTCCAGGTCTATTCGTATATGCTATCTTGTGGACTTAACACTACCATATTGCTTAATACTAGCTCGAATCTCGTGATCATAAAGCATTTTTAATAGATCTAGATCTATCTGACTATTACGCGTAAGGGGTTGCGAGAAATAGTGTAAGCTAGGGTTAGCTTTACTATTCTCACACCTAATATAGTGTTTATATGACCCATCAGGGCTAGTAAATGGTGTAGTGAATAACCGAGGTCGATAGCTTGGAGTCCATAGCCGACAGCTTATTTGCTCCATAAATTGATTTTTCGTTGCATTAAATATCCTGTAGGCGTTTAGTAGACGTCTATGAGATATCTCACTAGACTTACGTACAAGTTCCCCGTTTTACTATGTCATTCTCTAGCCACCCAATATCTTAGCGAATCTCGTTGATCTGTTTAAGGATATCTTCATCTACCCTTATATGTGTCACGGTGTGAACTATAAGGGTCCGCCCGGACCCGCCAGGACCGATAAGGAAGATCACGGGCACGTGATCTTTAGTCTGTTTATCTACACATCCATCCTAGACCCTGTTATAGCTCTTCGAGCTACGTCTTGTATAAAAGCTTACGCTAGTCTGCCCCCGTCTGCCACCTGATCAATTAGAATCCTTCTGGATACGTTCCGATCCTGTCGATCTCCTCCTATTACAACCCTGCCAGCCCGCCCCCTGACAATATGTCGAAATTCTCGAAGCCTAGGTGCTACATATTAGCACAATTTCACACCAGCACATTGATAATGCGAGTGGTAGTAGGCATCATAGCCAAGAAAAGATTTAGAAAAACATTCTTTATCCTTATATAGCTGTCTCATTGAATATTGCACCTATAAAGAATTAGTAGACGTCTATTAGACGTCTTTAGGATATCTAATAGATGGGTTATATTACTTACACTTCCGATCTTTTGCACAAGAGACTCCTTTGCTCCATTACGAACCTCCACTATATAGGCAAAGCTATCTGGATGGGTCTGAGGATATTTAGGTAAATCAATGGCATACTCGACTAAAGATGCTTTTAGTTGAGAGCGCTTTGTCTGTGTAAGTGTCACAAATGGTGATATATCAGTCTGTGGAGGACTGGCCTAAGAAATCATAAGCAAATAGATCTTTTGTAAACATTTAGTAGACGTCTCGCAGACGTCTGCTACTCACATTCGCTTCCTCTTCTTAAACCCTCATCTCCCATAATAACTGGTTATACATATCATTATCCCCACTCATCTTACCTATTTATGACCAATGAGTGAGCAGAGTTCCTGTGATTTGATACTTAAGTGGGACAGTGCATGCGAAAGAAACGGTGAAATTTACTGTGTGAAAAGTTGTGTTTTCGCTTACAAATCACGTGCAACTAGCCTATTTCAGTATGTTAGTCCGGTTTTTCGGTCCAGAGTTGGGATAATCCGGGACGGAATAGGCTAAGGCAAGTCTGGACTGGCCCACTTCCAACTCTCGAGGCCAGACTACACCTCTTATTGGTCCTAAAATAGATTATGAGCTCACTGTGGGCCCAATGAAGCCTGGACCTTTTTTGCTCAACCAATCAGCATACGCTGATCTACACAGCTCTGCTTGGTGTTAGTTAAAACGAAAGAAAAATAGAAAAACAGCCTGGCGATAGTGGCTGTACTGGGTTTTGGAGACACTGAAGCACGGTCGCGAAGCTAGGAAGGGCCCTGAAAGAGTGTCGTGAGATATTCGTTTGGGAGACACGCAAAGAACCGGCGAATATGAAGCGGCGAGAACAAACGTATGTCTTTCCGCAATCGCTCAACCAGATTTCTATATTTGTGGGCACTCTAGGTTTACTCATTATAAGCCTATCATTTTTTACCGCTAAATGTAAACTTTTCAGCCATGTATTGGGTATTTGGCTTGAATAGTAAAGGCTGATCAAATTGGTAAAGTACTGTAGCAGTAGATAGCTTAGCAGGTACTGCTCGAAGGACTAGGCGTACCTCCAATGGTTCAGTTTTGTAATGTTCATTACACCGACCTTCATCGAGGCGCAGCTGTTTGTTTATGATTTGTCTAAACAGAGATTGTGATTTGGCCAAAAATGCCTTCATTGTCCAGATAAGTTAAGCGGAATTTATGTGGGAATTCCACATAGATCGTGTTGCATACCATGTTGGTTTACTCATGTGCTAGATGAACTTGAGTAAATCCACACAAGTGGGAAATC